CGCGCACAAAAACAACTGCAGGTGTCGAAAGCACTCGACGGGGGGAAACTGCATCGTTGCTCAACTCCTGTTCACCCTGCAAAAATGCACACGGAGGGCTCGGCCAGTTTTCACAGCTCGGCTCCGTCGAGATGTTCTTTCGAAGTGTTTTTCCTAAGTATGTTACCGTGTGTGCGCGGCCGGTTGGAAAGCCTCTCCGGGTTTGGTCACGGCAGTTCATCAAAACATGTAGCGTGCGTGGAAGTGTGTGTGTGCGCTCTTTAACAACTGAAAGAAGAAGCAAGAAAATACTCCCTATGCGCGGGCTCGCTCATAGTCCTACGTCTAGAAAAATGCTCCCAGGCTCAAACCGCGATTGCAAAAGTCATTTAATTAACTTCAACCTTTTTAGAAGCGCTGGACCTAATTGGACACTGCGCATGCACACGTTCATTCCCCCGCCTCCAGTTTCAATAAGCCCGTAACCAGAAGGAAAAGGAGCTTGGCGTGCACGCAAACAGTGTATGTTTTTATGGCGTGCCAATAAAACGTAACACAAAGAAACATGCCAGTCTAATTACTGAGAGATAATATGGAAAGCAAAAATATATATGCAATGTCCCACGACATGGCAGGGAATGATGTCCTGAAACCGGGTGCCTGCCAGACGTTGTCTCATTACGCAAACTTTGAAACAAGCTGTAATTTGGTCACCAAGAAGTGAGATGTGTTCGCAAGAGTTATTGGCCGGCCTCATAAACGAGCCTCTCTTTAAAACATATTGACCCATTTTACAGCCAGCGAAATTTAACCAGCAAAGGGTTGCAGGGAAAATTGCATTTAACAGCGGAAACAAGAATGAGTTTAACGACAACTACAATACGCAAGAGGCTGCGTCTGATTGTTTTGAACAGCTGGGAAAACATGTGTTGAACAGAAATGACGGGTCCTCAAGGTAGACTTCATCAAGGATCCGTACAGCGCAGCGTTGCACCGACATGAAAGCCGTGTGGATGATTCTCATCTTTCCATTCTTTATTCTCAACGATCGCTACACACTATCGGGATGGAATACAAATTTAGAAAAAAAGAAAAGGTAGTTTGTTATTTTGGAAGCTGGTATTATCCTTATATTATATAAAGATAATGATGTATTATTTTTAGCACAAACAAGGCAACCACATGGGAGATGCAACAAATTGTGTGCGTCGCCGAGACACAAACCCGCAAGTCAAAATCTAAGGCGAGGAGTCAACTACGACTCCCACGGAGCATTTCAGTAACAGACCAGTTACTAATTACTTCCCAGCACAGATATGAAGTGGATATGAACTGGAAACTGTTTGGCTTTGAGTGAAGTAACGAGAAGAGCCGCTGAGGGAGAAAAAGCAAGGCACACAGCGTCCCTCCGAGCAAGAATGTTTCCCCCGTCCCTGAGGACTACTCCTCGATGATGGGGATGTGATTACAAGCTTCCAGCTCTCTGCCTCCACGTTGGAAAAAAGTGTGTACGTTGTTGTGCGCGCTGTCATTCAGCCTCACAGCGCTTTGCATTAAATGAAAGGACGGAGCGGGGGCTCCACAGAAGGCAAACAATGAAATACGTCTGGCTTATATATAGGCTGGTCCCTATAAAGCAGTTTTGTGTGTGTGTGTGTGTGTGTGTGTGAGAACCCGCCCCCCCCTAAACCCGCAAACAGTAATGAAACACTTCCTTATTTGAAACTTTCCTAACATTTAGTTGCATGACAGTTCGAAAAGAAATCTGAGGCAAATTGATCCTGGAGGGAACAAACAGGCAAAGTATAATAGTCAATTTATTTTGAATTTTTACTGCTCAAGTCTCAGGAAACTTTTTCCCTCGGATCCCATTTAGAATATTTTCCATTGTGTTCATTTTCCATTATGGAAAATAATTAGGTTCATGAAACCTATATTAGACATACGTTGGTGGCTTTGAACCTTTTTGTTTCCACTCTCACTATTCTCTTTCTAATCGCCCATGTCTGATTTCACCCCAACTTTGTTTTTCAGATGATAGATTTCCTCCTTTTTCCACTTAAGATTTCACTTTCTCTCTCTCGCTCTCCCTCCCTCCCTCGGCCTCTCTGGCGCTGTTGCTTTTCTCCAATTCCTCCTTCATATAATCCTGTGTTCTTTGGCTCGCTTCATTAGCTGTAGCAATAAACACACAGTGCCACAGGATGCCTTCAAAAAACTGCTCAACGTGATAACTGCAGAGCCAAGCTTGCAGTACATGCTACACATGTGTGTGACATAACGTGTGGTTGTATGTGTGTGTGTGTGTGTGTATATAAAAGGCTGGAGGGAGTAGAAACAGACCGACAGATTTTTGTTTTTTTTGTATATAATAATTTACAATGTTTGTGCTCTGAATAACTGCGTCCAAATTCGTAAGACCACGACCTTTCAGCATTGGGGTGACCTGGAGCTTCGGGATGAACAGAAACACGCTGTATTTCTGCACAGACGTGGTATTCTCTCTGATCTGTACGCCATCTAATAAAACAGAAGCGTACACAAAGTTTGCAAGAGACTGCATGTTTATGACTGCACCACTCCCATGTGTTGCTAATGGTATTCACTTTTACTTTTGTACAGTATGTTATGATTCCGACGACAGCCCGGCTTCAAGTCTACTAATTCACTGCCGCTCAGTGTTCTCCCAGTTTCTCTGGTGACCCCTTACACGAGCAGCTCGCATGGTGTTTTGACAAGGGAAGCGCTGGCAACCACGCCGCTTTCAATAGGCTCATTATTCAAGCGCCTCTGGACTTCACTCAGCCCATATTTCTACGACCACAAAGGACCCATAAAGACACTTTGGCGGAGTCGGGAACCACACTGCAGGATGCAAATGGAGCGCGGGTGTGTGTTCGTGTGGCTCGAGGGTACGAGCCCCCGTCCACACATGAGAAAATTTAAGACAGTACTTGAGTCTGTCGTGGCTGTGCATGTGAACCCATAAAAAGGGCTCATATATATCCATGCTTTTCTGCACACATGTTATGGAACTCCAGTTAAAGAAAAAACACATGCACAGTAAACTCGGCCTGCAATCTAATATCTGTTCAGCAATTCACGTACTGAAATATATACATGTATGTATATTATTTTTAAAAAAGGTGCATAATAGTGGTTCCTGAACATAATGCAAAATAAAGCTATAGAGGAGTGAAGTCTGTCTGAGTGAAGAATGAAGTCATTCTCCCTCCGTTTGTGTTGTCATCCGAGCTTTAGCGCACATTGGTGCACGCGAGCGTCGCCGCTCTGCACTGCGCTCATTAGGTGGTGACAGAAGAGGGCGCCTAAGCAAAGCGCCCACCCTCCGGTTTCCCCCTCGGGTGCCCACCGTTTGCTCCGTCAGCAACGGAGCTGTAGTTCGTGCCGTTAGCTCGGCTTATGAATTTCCACTGCAGTACTTGGCGAGACATCGTAGTTAACGTCGAAACCGACATCTAGCCGTGAGGGTCAGGGGACCCCATTGGTCGACGTATCGGACCTGAGCCAATCAGGGGGCCGATCCATCAACATGCACGGGAGCCAGGCCGATCGTGGTGCTCGATTGCCTCGCAGGGTCAGACTCAGACAATGAATATGGTTGAATTTTAAATAATACTCATCTTTTGGTATGTTAAGAGCTGCCGAGAGCAACAGAATTGCTTCCAATCTCATAAAAGGCCCATTTAGAGCGATTCAGCAAGAGTTCCGTGTAGCTAACACAGTTAAATAGAAATGCAATATTCTTCTTGGCTTTGCTAGAATTATACACGTAGAATCCTGTTGCGTCTACAAGGCTCTGGGTTTGGGTCTCTGAGTGTTTTTGAGATTTTTCAGGAAAAGGAGGAGGGAGAAGATAACAAAAGAACAACATGAGAGTATCCTGTATGATGCTGACGATTCCCACTCTACTCAGACTCTCCTAACGCGCGCACCTCTCCGCCCGAAAGCTTGACTTATGACACACAAAAAACCCTTCTACCAAAGACGCAGCGAAAAGCGGCCAAATTCTCTGAAGTGTGGCTGCCGAGGCTGCTGAATGCGTACAGCTGCAGTCGAGATGTTTGTAGAACGCGATAACAACGCGGCCATGTCCTCGGGTCTCCTCTGCGTCTCCACCAGTCTCTTCTCCTCTCTCCCTTCCGCCAGGCCTCTCCAACCTTCTCACTCTGTCTTACTCATTTACCTTCTCTCAAAGCAATTTCCATGACTAACTTTAATGTGAACGCCAACTCTGCTCCGCACGCGCACACACACACACACACACACACAGACACACACACACACACACACAGACAGAAGGCTCAGTCATTCAGTCCGTCAGTAATATGGGGAGCAGCACTAACACAGAATAAATCATTTGTCCGCAACGTGAACAAAGGGCCTGTGTGAATGGGTTTTTTGGGGATGTGTGTGTGTGTGTGTATGTGTGTGTGTGTCGGTCTATTAGCATATTGCTTGAACAAATTATTCATCTTTCATGCATGACAGGCATGACATTTCAAGCCAAACTGAGGAAAGCAACAGCCAACGTCAAGTTTTTAAATCCAGCCTGTAAAGACTCTTTTGCCAGTATTGCAGTTTTTCTTGAGGCAGAGAAAGCACCCGATGCCTCCGATGCACGTCCACATCACCACGAGGCAACTGAAGAATACGCGCATTGAGGCTGGAGGCGAAACGTCTGTGGTCATGAGCACCATAAAGATTAAACACTACGACATATTTCCTAAACTCTTAAAAAAAAGCAACCTCCATAAACTTTGAGTTGGGATGATAATGGGAAAAAAAGTGTTTATTTAATTTGCTGATTCATTGCAGACGGAGTTAAAAACACTCTTCCCCCCCCCCCCGGTGCAGTTCTCTCTCTCAACACGAGCTTGTTAACAGCTAGAGCCTCGGCGTGAAATATAAACCCGAGAGGTTCACTACATTTGAGTTCTGGAAGAATAGAATGCTTCAGAAACGGGCATCGGACAGCTTGCATGTGGCCATCCCCTCACCTGCCGAAGCTTGACTCCAATAACACGCAGCACCTCCCTGCAGATGCTGAATTCCTCTTTGGTAACGCGCAGAACGAACGGCCGCAGATCCCTCCTGCAGGGTCGCCATGTCCTGTGATCGACCACCACCTCCCAGGCCTCCTCCGAGATGCGTCCGGACGGCAGTGTCCTCACGATCGCTCTGGTGCCAGTGCAGACGGACTTGGTCATCTTATGGAAAGAAAAAACAAAGAAGGGGTTTCCTTGTTTTGTTCAGCAGACTCTAGGAGTTATCAACTAAACCCCTCTGTTCAAAACACAAACTACACCAAAAGACCGACGGATAATCCAATCATGGATGGCGATACCTTTTGATTATTCTTGAAGAAGCGTCTGACCAGTACGGTGGAGCCCTCTTTGCGGTTCTTAATGAAGTCCGCATTGTCCAAGAGGCCGTCTCCATCCCCCGCGTCGCTGCCGCCCCCGCTGCCGGAGGACCACCGCCCTTCGTTCCTCGGGGTCGTCCTCATGGCTTCCAAAGACACTCTGCTTGGAAACAGTTTTTCCAGGGAGCATTTCTTCACCCTGGGCCTTCTGTTGAGCCTTTCTAAACTCGAGTAGCCATCCCTCGGGTGAACTTGTCCGTTCCGTTGATGCTGGCGACGCACGGGGAAGGGCGAGCCGCAGGGGGATGAGACCAGAGAGCTCGGTTCACTGGATGGACCGCACAGGGATGAGAGGCCGGGGGATGTCTAGGGGGAGAGAACACCGTTAGCTAGAATAGTCTTTTAGTGAAGATTTTGTTGGACGGCCGCGAATGGGCCGTCCAATGGGTTTAAGCATTTAATATACTGTGAAGAAAGTGTGCGAGTCTTTTGTTCAGGTTAGGGTTGAGCGCAGAGAACGCAGAACACGGGAAAATGCATACAAGCTGCAGATACCGCGGGCGGGCGACGTCCTTCTTCGTTACCTTGTGGAAAGCCAGCATGGACACGGGCAGGCTGCTGCGCCGAACGTCTCTCCGGTTGGCCTGAGCCCGGCAGAGGCTCGGACTCTGAGCCGGGCTGGATCTGGCGCTGCGGCAACAGGAGAGTTTTGGACTCGTATTAAGGCCCGACAGGGTGCCGGAGCATCGTGTGCTGCCAGTTCTGTTTCTGCGCACGTCCCCGCCCTCCCCGGGGGCGTCCAGCTGGCGCCGAGATCCCTCTGAAGCTCTCCCAGGTATCGCAGAGACAGCGTCAGTCAACCCTTCCATTCTCCTGCCAGCAGGCAGCTCCGGAGAGCGCCTCTCTAGTGTAGAGTCGTAATCCAAACACTCGTATTCCTCGTCCAAAATGGTCCCTTTCCCGCTGTCACACGACAGCTTCCTATGAAAAAGGAGGGAAGGGCTGCCGCGCCGTTTCGACTGCCACAGTAGGTCAGAGGATTGCCACACTTCCTGGCTGCTATTTGCGTGTCTGGCATCTGCGGCGGTTCTGCTCCCGGCGGCTGGAGGCGAAGCTCTGCGAGCGAGGACCGCAGCCGCGACCTGCGGCGGATTTTCTTCGGTGGCCATCGAGTCTCCCTGCAGCGTCCTGCTTTTATCCTCTGTGGCTCTGAAAGTGAGCGACACGTGAGCAATAAAAGAGCATTTAGAGGAAACTTATTTTAAATCCTCTAAAATTAGAGGCATTAGCGACCTCGTCCATCTCAGTTGGTCGCTCCGCGGAGCAGCAAGAAGAAAATTCAATTTGCAGAGGAAATTCAATTTGCAAACTTCAAAACTCATATATCTTGTAAAATGACCGTTTCGTCATGTGTGTAACATAACAGATGCACTCGATGACTTTTTCGATGAAGTTTTCCCTGCAAGGCGCTCGAGGCGCATTTCTCTATTGCAGCTCCACCTTTTGATTGATAAGACTAAAACACCTCCACCCTCCCTATGAAACCTTCCGCATTCCAGTTCGGTTCACAATACTCACCGAGATATTGAAAGAGATCCGCTTCAGGTTCCAGGTCCTGCCATCATGGCCTGTGATCGGGCGGTATTAGCTGAAGAGGCACAGCTTCCAGTGACCTCTGGAGTGACTAAGATGTCCATACACAGCAGGCTCTGTGTGTGTGTGTGTGTGTGTGTTGTAGAAACAGAAGCTTGTGCAGCTGTACAAACCACCAGATAGACAATCCACGGAGGTGACCCTGGAGGAAAGAGGAATTTCCTTGATAGTGCGGTTCAGGGACGCAGCTTACGAAGCGTGCGTGGCTGTGTGCGCTAACCCGGATTGGTCCTGACATCCATCTGCGGTATAGTTATCCACTTGCAGGCCTGAGAGAGGAGAAAAAACAAGACAATTCCCAAGCATATTTAAAGAGTATTTCTAAGCACAGATTCAAGATCTCCGTCAGGTCCTTCTTGGGCTCCCATCATTCATCACATCAGCTTAGCTTATCAGCATCTGCTTATCCGTGACCATTCAACTAAATCAACGCGCAGAGTGTGAGCCATTGTAGTCACACAACTGAAACAACAAATAGTGAATTTCAGTGGGAAGGGAATAATGCGTGAGGGAATTTACACCCATGAAAACATTGTGGGGCAATAAGAACTATATCATCAGTTCTATTATTTCCATTTCCTGAGATGATGTATGGGGAAAAGGACTGCTTTGTAATAAAAACGGACTATAATATGCAACCATTTCCTGTAAAAAACAATGGCACTATAGGCCAGTAGAAAAAGCATCTCTCTCAATCGTCACTTATGACCCACTAGAAGCCTTTGGTGGCTTCTTTATCTGCAGACAGCCGGCTCCCTGCCTGTGTTTGCTCTTTTCTTCCTCTTTTGCTGTGCAAAGAGCAAAAAGCAAACCCGGGGACATGACCTTCAGTCAATAGGCAGATTGCGCCGCCCTGTCCTCATTCCCGGGCAAAGACAACAGCGCTGTGACTTCACAGGGAGGCCAAATGCGGCACCTTCCCGCAGAGGTTGTGAGGACACCAGGATGCAGCTTCTTTTGTGCTTTTGAAAGTAACCACCATGAAACCATCAGATTCAATCAATTCAATCTTCCGATTCACAGCAAGAGTGTTTATTGAAAGTACGTACAGCTAAAAAAATGTAAACTCTGTAGAATGGTAGTTGGTAATGACGACACTACCAAGACTCGCACTCAGCTCTTCAGTAAAGTAAACAAGTCGTGAAGGAAACATACAAAAAATAAATAAAAAGAATGCTTATCGATGGCCTGTCAGGGCCTTTTTATCCAATTTGCTAATATCTAAAAGAAAATATTAATCTTTCACCTCTTCGGTGTGAAATAATCCTTCAGACTGGAGGTTCATAAAACCGAGCTGGGCAGATTTATGCAATCACACTCACACACACACACAACGCATACGAATTGTGTGGTTCTGGTATCGTCAGCGGTGGCCAGTGATGTAGAAATCCAAACGACGAGTGCACAAAACCTCGTAATTAGAGCGACCGCAGCCCTTAATTCCCTGCCCAAATACGTGGGTCAGAGTAGGAATGTGGAATCGACCCAAACAGGGAGGACCAGCTACACTTGGAGCATGTGTGTGGGAGAGCAAGAAAAATACAAATAGGGGAGGAAAGGGCTGCACTAGTTGATCCTCGGTAATTCAAGCAGCGGAGGAATTCTGGGCCAAAAAGTAGACAGCGTCCCGTTTTCTATTGTCATGTGCAACGCGGTGAACGCGGCCCGGTGAGCGCAAAGGGGGAGAGGTCGGAGGGCGGTGGGGAGTGGTGGTGAAATGACATGGGATGACTAGTGCGAGCTGAACGGTTTCAGACCACGTGGGCACCGTGGGAGGAGAGGACTCCGCTTTTGAAAAGGGAAACATTGAAGAAGAGACCAGAAAGGCGCAAAAATATATATTAACAAGGCGCCATCCTTCCGTGAGAATGGTCTTTGGACGGATGAGTCCAAGATTGGAGCTTTTTTGGCATTTATATATGAAATCAAGCTTTCAAAAGGGAAAGAACGCCGAACGAGACGAGACTCAGAAAGCAAAGGCTCCTGCAAAAAAAAATTAAATAACCCAAAATACACAGCTACAGAAAGCTAAGAAAGAATGGATAAGAACAAAACAGTAGACCATTCTAATTCTTATCTGCATCCCATCAAACATCCCCGGAAAGAGCTGAAATGTATCCATTAAACCGGATACAGCTGGAGCAGTTGGGCCGAACCACCAGTTTGCTTTTGTCCAAGACTTTTTTTTTTTTTTTTAGAGAAAACTGTGGCGTTGATTTTTTGGGCTGCGGCGTCTTTTCAAGCCACTGTGCCACATTCACACAGCCGAAGAGGGATGAAACCGAGGGATGAAGTGCTTCATTCACAAGCTCGGGGTCGCGTCTGGCCTTCGCAGGGACGCAGGGCGCCTTGCTGCTAAGCTGCAGCCTTTTGAAGGAAGGGATTCGATAGCTGGACAAAAAAAATCCCATCGTTTTTGAGAGCTGACGGCCTGATTTATTTTGTGCACTGAAAATTGATGAATCGGATTCTACGTGTTGAGCAAACGGAATCTGATTTACAAACAAAAACAGACCTGAACTGAGCACTAGGTGTCATAATTTGTATACTGACGTGAGCTACAGAGATCGTTTTAAAAGAGTAAGCAGCTCCAGCTAGAAGAAACATGCCAAGATTCAGAATTTCCCAGAAGGCTATAAACCTCTCGTAAAAAATAACATTCTAGGCGAGAAAAAGTCTTTACACAAAGTTCTATTCAGAACGGGGTTTAATAATACAAAAATTACATTATTGTGGAAAGACCTGCAACATGACTTGATGGAAAGTACGTTTCTAATTCTCACAGAAACTGGGAGAATCTGAATTAATATTACCCAACACAATGTGCAACTCATTGCTGCACGATATAGCTGTTTGAAACTGTGTAAACTGGATTGGAGAACTTTAATACTAAAGATTTGGGAGATCCGGGGAGGACAGGTTTGGAGATCACGGGATTTGCATCATACTTAACGACCTAATGATGATGAAATAAACGGCCCAAACACAAAAAGACACCAGCATGCAGTGAATTCCGCTACAAGTCATTGTTGGTTTTCAATGTGTCGGTTCCACAATACAAGCAAAACCTCCGGCTGAAACTGTAACATGTGGGAACAACACGCCCGCGGCTACGCAGACGTTCAAACCACAGGTATGAGAAGGAAGTTGTCGCACGACACCTCAGACGAAGGATTGTGGGAAGAAAATTAAAAAAAAATCGACACCACGGCTAAACAAAAAGGCTTTTGGAAGATTCACTGCTCGTGACACACGTCAAACGGGATTAACAGGATTTTGCCACCAGATTGCGTGCCCCTGAGTGCGTGTCATCAGTAGATCAAAAACCTCCGCACAGAGAAGTCACAACTACTACTACACGTGCAGACTAAACTCTCGGGCACCATGCAAACTGAAAACAGAGAAAACGACTGTTTGTTGTTTCTGGCGGCCGCCTGCGTTTGTCATCTACTGCCTCAGCTGGCGCTGTGGCTGCGCAGATGTTCGCCATCACGCTCGGGCCGAGAACACAAGCCGACACACTCCACACATGTTGTCGAGTCGGGCGGGGGGAGACATGCCCGGCGAGACGTCGCTTACGGCTGCTACAAGTCCTGGAGCCGCGTGTTCGCGGGCGCAATAAACAGCTGTCGGGCTAATTTAACAACTCTAATAAGGACAGCATTTCCACACTGCGGTTACTTATTTTTGGGGTTAGTTGGTTACAGCTGTTCACTTGGTCGTTGTGATCGTGACCGATTGTCCTACATATGAATCAAATGCAGAAATGGATGTTTAAGTGGCAAAATAGAACAATAACGCACCGGTTATGTGATTATTTCAAAACGTCAAAAATGACAGACACACACTACAGAGTTATTAAAAATAAGGATTCCATCTCTGCAGGTGGAAAACACCCCAAAAAACACCCCTACACACACACACACACACACACACACACACACACACACACACACGCTAAAGACAGTTCAAAGCATTGTTGTTATCAGCAGATCTTTGACCCCGGCTGGGAAAGCAAACGGCTCTCTCAGGTTAAATCTCAGCCTAGGGCAAGAATTGCAGACAGACACAAAAACACACACACACACACACACACACACACACGTACACACAGGAAACGAGGTCACACAGCGGGACAAGTGCACTGACCAAGAAACCCCTCGATTACTTCTACTTCACTCGTTCTGTCGTGTAACAGTGTGCAGCACATGGATCATGAAACACGCTTCTTTTGCTACAAAATGACACAATTAGCTGGCTGCAAATTGACAGCTGACAATACTTACACACATGTTGGAAATAGGCCTCGTAAAAGTGCTTCTTTAGGCGTAATGCTCCAGGTTTTCTACAGATGAACTCCCGCTCACGGTCTTGTTGGCAACTGAGTGAGTTAGACCGGGGGAGTGGAAGAGAGAGTGAGAGGGAGAGGGAGGGAGACGAGTATTGTCATTGACAAGAGGGACGGGCCTTCCAGTCAGTCTAAAGTTCAGCGGCCAATCAGAACGTGCCTTTGAAGTTTGTGGACTTAAATGTTTCACCTTGATCTACAAACCAAAGGACCACAGGGACACACAGATGTTGGGAAATCTCTGTGGAAAGTGTCTCCACTAACTAAGTGGTGACATAAATAATATATGTCTCTGACCATATAAATACGCACGTTTGTTTTTTATGAAAAACGATATGAAGTATAAAGGATTTGGAGCTCAAAGCAGAAAATATTAACTTTCCTCTCGCATGAAGGGCTCGTTCCAGTATTTCAGTGTGGTGCAGCGGGACGTTCTTAAGTTTGACTGGTGAGACATGGAGACATGAAGTGAAATTAGTGTCACATCATTGAAAATCCTAACAAATTTGTTTTATGACCCTTGTGGTGAAAGTGGGAATATATAAGCAAGAACTAAAAGAAGACCAAAATAAACAAACATTAATGTGCTGTCCATGTCCTGTATTTTGAGAAGTAAATGAAGTGAGACATCCAACCACTAAACATTGATCCATTACACAATGACCTTTTGTCAAACTGAGTAACATTTTGTTTTAATGAGTTTGTGTCTTCGGACCTCAAACGTTTTTCAGCCCCCGACTCCCAAATCGTTCATTGTGCCTCAACAGGAGGCCTTCGTGAAAGCCTTCTTCTAATGTGCATTCATGGGGGATTATTACGTCACAACTCATCCAAATAATGACTCACGGTCTGGTGTTTTATTGGGTCCAACTTCACACGGTGTGCAGGCATGTAAAGCCAAGGTGGAAAGCAGCACCACGAATTACTGGTAATGACGATTTATGCATCTCACACTTTTTTGAAGCTTATTCTGAAGCCAAAGCATCTGCAAGTGTAAAATGAGAGCTGTATACAAACTGAGCTGAAAGGCCGCTTATCCTCTTAAGTCTCCAAAATACTTTGCTAAATACACGCTAGGATTCGGCATTGAACCTTTAGCATTCCACCAGCTTAATAAGCAGGTCAGGGAGGGAAGGAATCCCCTTCTTTGTTGTGCAAGGGCCACACGGGGGGGGGAGAAAAAAGGCCTCCCATGCGAGTACAATGGAGTGACGCTCCTGCCGATGTCACCCAACTGCAACGGAACGGTGCAAACACGCACGTCACTTAGATTGTCTTCTCAGATACAAGCGCGTTAGGACGCCAAGAGAGGAAAGTTAACTAATTCAAATTCCATTCCATTTAAAGAAGAGGTTAGCAGCGAGTGAAGCAGCGAGAGGAAGGTAAAATGAGAATGCATTTCAACGAGGCGGCATAAAGTAAGGTCACGTGGTGTTGGAAAGGGCCCACTCTCTTTGAAACGGGGAGTCAGTGGAGAAAAGAATCACATTCCTTAAAGTGGAAGAAGTTGAAAAGAAGCGGAGAAACTTTGCGATGGAGAGATCTGTGCAGCTGGGAGGAAAGAAGGAACCATTTGCTTCAGAAACACGGGGGGGGAATCCAGAGCTTCTGGGTAATTGGCGAAGACTTAATTGGTCGGACAAATTCCGGGAACTCAAAAACAAAGAGTCCCTTCTGTTCTTTACGAACAATTTGCGAACCGGCTCGGTGAGCGCGGCGTTCCGACATCATGTCCTGGCATCATGTCCTGGCCCGCCCAATTCATTGAGGGAGAGGATTTTCGTTTGCGTCAAAACGCAGCGTGATGAAGCTAAACGGGTGGATCGAAGACAGTTCATGCCGATCCCATAGTCCTGATGTTCTGCACACGGCACGGTGCTCTTCACATCTTCAAAAGACGTTGGTTTTTTCCCCTCTTCCAATCGGAATATATCAGCTTGCCTACAGAATCAGGATACATCTGCCATATGTTTCCATTACGCGAGAACGCACCTCAACCCTCCAATGTGCCACATGTGTGAAGGGGAAACTCAGAACCTTATCCAGACCTCCTTCTCCAGACACTTGTTCATGGTCCACTTGAGAAATCGGATCTTTAGATCAATACGTTACATCAGCTCCACTTTGCTCTACTGGATGTCGTGCTTTGTGTTAATGATAAAAGGGAAGATAGTGTCAGAATTCAGAACACATCAAGGCTTCATTCATCAAGATTTTATCGAAACGGATACGCCAAAGCGTTAAAAGCGTTGATGCCGCGTCCTTCTTCTCACTGCCGCCATGAGACAACACCGACAGCACGGGAATCAAACGGAGTCCAAAAGGCAGAAACAAAGGAGGGAACATCCACCTGCAATCTCCTGCAGGTCGATGTTCATTTCCAACCCGGTCTGCCCTTCAGTAACACACTGCTGCAAACAGAGCAGACGTTTCATGCGAGGGACCTGGAGGACATGTGGCTTTGATTAGTGGGCCGGGCAGAGGGAGACGCCAGCGGAAAGTGGGAGGGGCTCTCTGTGTGTGTGTGTGTGTGTGTGTGTGTGTGTGTGCGCAAGTGAGAGAGTGTTTCTAACGTGTTTCAGTGAAACAACAGAGCGAGAGGGCTGACTGAAGAAGGGAGGGTTTGTATCATCCCGGTGGATGATTGAGTGTGTGTGTGTGTGTGTGTGCGTTGTAGCCAATGCACTCAATAACAGAATAAAAAGATGACTCAAAACAAGGGGGGCGACTGCTGAACTGAAGAATGAAATGAGTGCCAGTGTGTGTGTGTGTGAGAGACTATAACCACAAAAACAGTCATAACAAAAGTGAACCACGCCAGCGAAAATGCCGGTGAATCATGTCCATTTCAAACTGTTGCACAGCCTTCTCTTGAGACATGTGGTTATTAGTTCAAATGTTTTCAGTAAACAAAATCAACCCACTGGCTGCTATTGATTCAAATCAAATGAGCCGTCCTCTCTGCTCTGCGCAATCAGCTGTTCATTATTTCAAGATGCCGTTACGGGACGGCGGCGATGGACTGAACATCGTGCGAGCGTATGTGAGACGTGGCCTGATCGCAGTAGAGAGGAGGGAAGACTCGGCTGCATGTCATCAACAAACGTAGGGACGTTTGTATTTGTTTACACAAATCTCCGTGGGGAGAGCTTTAAATCACAAAGCACAGCTCGAGAAGAATTAAGCCAAACAAATGTATTCCACAACTGATACATGTCAAAGGTCAATTATGGCCAACACCGGACACTAAATAAACAAAGAGGGCGCCATCCAGACAAATAAAAAGCACACACACTATGTCAGGAAGTGGGGATGCACCAAAGCAGAGAGCAGAACGTTTAACGAGTCCAACCAGTCTGCAATCCCTTATTTCTAGGCTGGAAGCATCACCACACCTCCTCTCAAACTGCTGACTTGCAACATATGACCTGATGCTGCAGCACCAGGAAATAACTGGAGAGAAACTGAAGTTTTAACATGTGTCAACCACAGTATTGTGATGGTGTATTCTAAGGAACATGGTTGTGAATAGACGTGTTTTTATTTAGTTTGCACTTTGTGACGTGATGTCCAGGGCGACTTTTCCTAAGTAAACAATAACCCGACCTGTCAAACTAAGCGCACGACCTGTAATTTTATTTGTATTTTTATAAGTATGTTTACCTCGCATTTCTCTCCTGCCAACACGTATTCATTATATTGTGTTTGATATTGAGTGACTCTGGGGGTTCTTAAACCCACGTTTCGGGAAACCACCGACACATGAAGAAGCAACTTGTCCAAACGTTACCACGCTCGAGACCCCCGAACCCCAAACAACGCAACCCACGAAAGAAAGAAAGTGTCTCTGGAAGTGACAGTGCCGTGAACTTACCGAGCTTAGTTTCGGGTCCGGTCTAAACTTCGCACACTGCCCGGTCTTAACGCACCTACGGAGGACTCTTTATTTCCCCCGCGCACACCGGTTAAACTCGCAGCTCGCGCGCACGGAAGGTCGACGCGCTGAGCTCTGGGCTTTGATGCGTTCAGGAACTCCTCGGAATATTTGCATGCGTGCAAGTGTGGTCGAGTCATGTGGGGGCCTCAGGTACTAGTTAGCCAGCTGTGGACAGTGTTCAGACACATTTGCTAAAGCAGGCTGATAAAGTTCTTAGTTCTGCCTTGTAAAACCTCTGCATATAGAGCAATTTGCATTTCGACCACACTACAGTAAAACGTTGTAAATGGACAGTAATTGTGTGTGATAGCATAACAGTAAAACCATGTTATTGTAGCCAATAACCATTAGTCTAAATAGTGTTCAGGTTTTGCATCCCCCTGAAAATAGATAATATTATCCAGCAATTGATCGAACATGTAGCTTTCGATAATTTGATGTGTTCACTTGCAAGTTGAGTTATGTTTCGCATTTAAATTACTACTATTGGTGTTGAAGTCACATTACTGTATTTCTTTTATTCTGGCATTTACTAAATACATGCAGCGATTCTTCATAAAGCGGGTCGGTCAAATATCCAACGGCACTTGAATGCGGCATTCTTCTTCTCTTCCCCAGTAGCCAGCAGTTGTGGAAAAGGAGGACGATAATGGTCCTAGATGTGTGTGTGTGTGTGTGTGTGTGTGTGTGTGTGTGTGTGTGTGTGTGTGTGTGTGTGTGTGTGTGTGTGTGTGTGTGTGTGTGTGTGTGTGTGTGTGTGTGTGTGTGTGTGTGGTTGTGTTTGTATTGGAATGTCTGGCCACACTTTTGCGCCGTATACCCACAGTCACACACACTTCACTTCACTGTTTCACATCTTTTTTTCCCTTGCTTTTGGATATATAGTTTCGTTGCACCAGACGCTCGACTATTGGATATTATCAACCAAAATACTGTCTGAGGTGCATGCAAGCCCCACCAAATGACACTCACCTTATAAAATGCCATCCTCAATCAGTTACTTGCCCATAATTTGCTAATCTAGAGCCAGATGTGCAAAATCTGCCACAGACAGAAACAAAGCCCTTGTTAACAAGGAATGCCCTTTTCCACTCCACATGCTACAGTATGGCTGCATTTATTTCAACGTGGAAAATTAGGCGTTAGTTTCAAATTCCCTCCCACCCAACTGATGGGAAGTATTATCCCATCCTTCAGGAATGTGCAAACCTTTAGTTCCTCCAGCTCTCCTCCACCCTCTGCAGTGTAAAAAACCCTTGGGGAATCCCCAGCTCTCTTTGCAGCTTCCACCACGCCAAAACATCTGATAGGACTTCATTCATCGCAAAATATGCTTTGTAATAAAACCAAACAAACAGAAAGTGGCCTAGATAAGGAAAAAGGCGTGTCATGACAAGCGATTCAAATAAAATGCTCTAGATATAGGGATCATGTTATCTTACAAACACCTTTGACCTCACCTGGTAGGAGCGGTATGAACGGCAAACTGCCAAAATGAAGTAATGACTAATGCCCCATTGGATTTTTGTTGGTTTTAGTGAACAAATACTGCAAATGCATACATGTATATTGTTGAAAGCAATTTAAATAACTATGAAACCAGAAACCAACAGGGATTTTTTAATTTTAGTTTATGACTACAACCATAAAAACTTGAATCCCATCAACTACTAGAGCTGCCGTTGTCACAGGTGATGAAAAGTGGCATTAAAGAGCAAATTCTTGTTTTGTGGATCCTGCCCTCTGCTGTCCGTAAAGGTCGACTACATGTGCAGGAAGCTGGCGTTAAACCACTGTTACATCTGCTGAAGTAATGAATATACCTACTAATGATCATACCGCTGCACTTTATAGAAATTCATGAAGGTTGCATGTTGAACTTGTAAACAAAAATGGAAAAAGTAAAGCTGCTGCAAGTCCCTTTTATGAAGTTGCTCCTAATTCTCCCCCTCCCCTTGGCTCGCTTCTCCGCAGAAAGATTACCACGCGCCCGCCCCTGGATGCAGAACACGGCTTATACCACAACATCTGTATGCAGTTAGCTCTCGTGGATGATACAACCCTTTGTCCAGTAAGACATGGGTTTGTGGTTGCAACACAATAAAACACGCCAATTCTGCAGGAATTAACCACGGTGACTGTCTACAAAGGGAGAACTTCACAAAGGAGTGTTGCTCAAAGAGACAACAACCTGCATGCACGCGTTCACATAATGGCGAGAATCGACCGTTACCGCTCTGAGCCGAGCACTCATCCACATGCACCGATCCACATCCCTGACTCAGTCGTTTGCACCGTGGTGACAGCACAATGGACACAATGGACAATAATGTCCAATGCAATGCCTCTGCACAGCCAGCTTCAGTCACGGAAGATAATAATAAAGAATGATTTCCGGAGTGATTATGAGAAAGAAACACGTCTGCACTAAGTTTGAGAGCAAAAAAGGAGCAGAGAACACAAACATGACTTATAATATTCATATACTTTAATATCAAATGATAGTATACTAAATATAATCAATCACTATGCAGAAATATATACATCTTTTAGAATATGTCGATGTAACACATTACAGAAACAGTCAGAAACGATTAAATTCCACTAAAGCATAGTTTAAAAATCCAAAATCAGCCTTACTTGCAAAGCTTATGGCTCCTGAAATATTTTTATTGTTTACCATTGGATGGAAAAACAACACATTGTGCTTAAGCTATTAGCATTCAAGTCAATTTAATTGATAATCTGATCAAAAAAGGACTTAAAAGTAGTGTCTCAACATCTTGGGGGAACATTAAGTCTTCAGTACGACAAAGATGTATTTAAAAAGAATGTCACAGTGTCTTCCAACTTTTTCCTCCACACTAAAGCAGAATACTAGGAACACATTTGATTTCATCAATTTCACACTTATAACAGCACTGTTCATCATATCAAGTGATGCATTAAACTACATTCAACTATTTAAAACTACTAAGTAGCATCAGAATTGAATGAACTGATCTCCATCATCACCACCACAGCAAATAAGTGCTCATAGGAAAGTGCTTTGTCCAGCATTGCGACGCTCATTGTAAATATCCCAGTAAAGAAGAGAATTAGAAGAAGAAGCTAAACTATAATTACAAGACAAGGGCGAAAGGAAGAAACTGTAGGATAATAAATAGCAGGCTAGCAGGATATTTACCTTCCTTTTCGAGCTGTATTTCAGCCAAATAAAACTACAGTTTTATTTGTTAAATTAAAATAGTGGGTAACTGAAACTTTATTTTTACCCTCTCGTCACAAAAAGCCACTTTAAGCTTCATGGGAAATATATTTTTAGACTCTTGAGGACTAACTAGACTCTTTCAGAGAAGACAGTTACGCATTAGTTGGCTCATTAAAAAAAGGCTGTTAAATTTTTTAGTGGGTTGATTCTTTTTCAGAAGCATCCTAATTCATATTCAGAAATATGCACAATCACACGTGGGAGCTGCCCAGAAGACGTCGCTGGTGGCGGAACTGCTCCCCCAAGAGGAGCCGGAGGTTAGAGTTCCCTGCGTAAGGCACTTCAAAGATAAATATGCATCGTATAATAATGGATATTAGCTTATTATCGTCTTATGTAAGAGGAGGCAGGATAAGAATGAAATCACTAAAGACTGTGCATTTCCTATGTGGATCCCTGAGTGAATCGCACTGCTGTTTTCAAGTAAAAAAAACTTCTGTTTCTGAATAACGTGGGGAAATTAGTTTAATTTATTTCTGTTTTTCTGCTTTACTGTGTATTTAAGTGCTACGGTTGCTTTTTGGTTTGCATTATATTATTGACAGAGTGATCCCAGTTTTATTGCTTGTATCGTTACTAGTTTGCAGATAAGTCACTCAAAAGTGACTCGTGCGAACCACAATACGATGAAATATGTTGTGTTCTTTCTTTCTTTCTACCCTCGTTGCTAATTAATGTAACGCAGGATAAATGGTCCTAATGCAGTAGACCTCTCGCTTTGGCTATTTCATTCAGGACTAAAATGTAAAATGGGACTACGGATATCCTTCAAAAGCTGCCTTATAACTCTCAAAAGAGTTTAAGCCTCCTCGTAGGTTTCCATGTAAGAAACAAGTAAAATGCTGAACATATAACGAGGAAAACAGTACAAACACCACATCATCCTTCTCAGCTCTTGCGCGAGTTGCTGTACCACTTTTGCAGCGCCACTCCACTCGTGCTGACCACGACGCACAGCGCCCCCCCCAGGCTCCACATGGTCGGCGCGCGGTTGAAGAAGATAAATTGGAAGATGAACGCCAGCACGACGTCGAGTGTCCTCATCAGGGCCACGGGTCCCGCCTTCTCGATCTGCAGGGCCTTCGTGAGGAAGGTCTGGCCGGCGATGCCCAGGACGGCGATCAGCATCAGCAGCCAGCGGTCGCGGCCGCAGTACGGGATCTTCCACTCCCCGAGGACGGACACGGCGATGATGCACTCGACGAAGCCGATGACGGCGTAGTACCAGACGGAGAGGTAGTAGTGGACGCTCTTCCCCATCTTGCGCAGGACAACAAACGTAAACGCCGCCCCGATCGCTCCTGTAGTGGTTTGAGAAAGAAGTTGTGCAGCAATCTCAAAAACAAAGCAGTGTGCTGTTAATAAGTTACATGAAGCTCCTAATTTATTTGGGCACATTTCGAGACACTTGAGTGGTGCAAAAGAAACTAAATAGAACTGTTGATTGCAGGTTGGATCAAAGTTGAGGATCATGACTTTCTTGGTAAATACGCCATTCCTGCTTGATAGAAAATTCGAATTCCAAACAGCTTTAAACAAGGTTTCCCAAAGCTGCTTTTTGGTGCTTATCGGAAAATCTGGATGAATATTAAACAACATTCTTCGACAAGGGAAGAAGCTTTTTGAGCACCACGATTGGGTGGAGACCCTCAAACATTAACACTCCCGGGTAAGGCAACCACGGGCCAAGAGATGTTACTCTATCATACTTCCTACAGAACAACAACACGTTTTCCTATTTATTGTAATCAAACAAACTTGACTGTGTTCTACTCGGGTCACCTGCAAATGCAGCGATCGTCCCCTTGAGGTGGTTGCCGTAGTTGCCCTCAATGCCGCGTCGCTGCTCGCCAAAGAGGAATGGTGGGCGGGCGATGAGAAGGACCCCACTGATGGTAAACACTGTGAAGACGCAGTCCCAGATTGTACACCTCTCCTTCAGGAAGATCCAGGCCAGGAGGGACGTAAAGACGGGATTACTGGAAGACGGAGGCAATGAGTTAGAGAGAGCATGTGAAAAACATATAGAAGAATAAGGGGAGAGGGAAGAGAACAAGATTGGGGAAAAAATGTGACAGTCAATCTATTGATATTTGCATAATCTACAATCAATGTCGATCCTACCTGAACATGATGACTGTGGCGTCCGCCAGCGGCATCTGCTGAACTGCATAGAAGAGCAGGATCATGGCATTGGAGCCAATTAATCCCCGAAGCACCAGATAAACACGTTTGTCTCGGGGACCAAGGAAACCCGTCCTGCAGGATCAGAGATATGAGGGTGATGGATGAATGAATGACTGGGTGGCTGGATGAGTAGACTGACCGACAGGGGAAGTAATAAAACTGATATTTCAGACAGGGACGGAACAGAGACGAATTGAGCAGCAGAGCGAGCTGAGAGACGACAGACAGTAGGTGGTTAAGTGACGAACGGATTGGGCTGAAAGGAGAGGTGGAAAGTTGATTATGACAGATGTAAAAAACAAAGAACAACGTAGAGGACGTGTGGGCGGATGGATGGATGGACAAAGAGGTAAATGAATGAATCAAAATACTAGTGGCAGTCTTTGGGAATTACGTTTTACATCCATTCGTGCAAAAACTAAACCAGAAGCAAGCTTGAGGAACAAAGGAAATCGAAAGTACAATTAATTATTGCCAGACGCTTCTTTCCCATCGTGTACTATCTCTTAGTGGTTCAGTTCTTTGGATTATTTCATTTTATTGCGCTTAAGAATACGATATGTTATTAGCATATTAGCATGTATATATATATATACATATATAAAAAGCATATAACTTCATGTAGGAAGGCTTTATTCAAAAGCATCCTAACACCCGTCTACATGCTGTATGTTTCAATGAGTGGATTATGGGAATAATAAACGTACACGTCTCTCACAGCTTTGAGACAACTTAAACTTGTTTGAGCAAAGATTGCTCGTTAACGCATGGTACCTGCTGATGGGGTGGGACGCCAGGCATGAAGACTAATGAAAGGCTCATGTGCTACATGACTGTGGAGACTATCGAAAAATAAAATCTAAATGTCGGGAGTTTGTGCTTCATGCTCACTTGTGGTAGATGAGTAACGGCAAAGTGAAGAGCATCTGGAAGAAGCAGCGTATGGCGCTGATCTCGATGGCGTGGACTCCCTGGATGCTTTTCACCAGGACTGCAATGATGGAGAAGAAAACGGTGGACAGCAAAGCGTAGAACAGACCGAGACCCGGACATGTCTTTGGTTTTCCCGCATCTGGAAAAAAACGGAGTCAAAGAACAGTTTGTTTATAAGAAAGAAAGTGAAGAGGGGTAAAAATATTGCTTGCTTTTTTTTTTTTTACCTTTGGCAATAATTACTTTCTACACCTATTTTTGCTAACCTTGATATTGCCCATTGTGTTTACATGCGTGTTTGCTTGCATACAACAAAACTAGTTATAATGAAAAGCCTGTTCATTCGGCCGTGCCTCTGTTGACACAGTCACCGAGCAGTAGGTGCTGCTAAAGACAGCAGTGCAGTGTTTGCAAACCCTGCCGTTACAATAACAAACTGATATGCTTGTGGAGATTACATTCCGACCTCAGGTCAGTCAAACATCTTCCTTTGTATTTGCCCACAACGAGCGGCCTGCTGCGCATTACTTTTATTGTACACAGGATTAGGTTTCTCAGCCTTTTGCCAAGAGCACTTTTATTTTTATTCCCAGTTCTGCAACTGTGCCGTGTAGACATAGACAGGGTTAGTATTACATTGTTACATTAACGTATCAGCATTACATTCATTTTTTGACTTGGTCAATGTAATTTTGTAAAACATTATGATTGTATTATCACGCTAGTACTTCACATTACTAACTTCTGATAGAATAAATTCATTTCTGTCCAGAATTATTACTGTCTAATATAGTGACTATTTTGATAAAAACATTCACACGGTCAAGATGTGTAGAATTTGAAGTGTATTTATCGTCTAGTAGGCTTTTAGTGTGTCAGCGGGCCTTTTCACGTGGTCCTTGAGCACATCGCTCACATCCCTGTTAACTTCTACACAAACACGCATCACTTTATACTGAGTTGCAAAAGATATTCAGGTTCGTAGCTGTGTGGCTGTATGGGTGAAAATGTTTGTATGGGCGGCAAAAAAGCCACAGGTATGGTTCCACTGTAAAAGTGCAAAGTCATCTTTCCCCTTTCAACATGATGCAAATGTTGAAGCATTGTGTCTTTATCTGCATGATACAGTTGTTATTATTAGATACAGTGTACATTGAGATATATGGACACCATCATATAGTACCGATTCATTCTGAAATCTAGTAATTTATCATAAATAGTTTCTATTCATAAAAAAGTAATAAGTGACGTACTTCTGAGATATAAAGCCTATTCTGACATTGCATCATTCGTGTCGGCCGCGGAGGAAAAGAAAGTACATTTTCTTAACTGTAAAGCTTTTTAAAGTGTTTCCTGTCAGCCGTGTCCCTGCTAATCGGCTAATAGCCTCCCCGTGACGTCACCCGCGATGTTACTGATACGTGACGTTGCACGATTATATAACACGCGGCTAACACCGGCTTCGACGGGAAGCCATTGCTTCGCCGGCTGCTTATCGCTCCCCCTTCCCGGCTTCTGCATCCGCGTTCCCGTCGCGGCCACCGACACGTTTTCGCTCTTTTCCAAGTCACGCGCGGTTCCTACCGTCGCCCGCGGCTTTCTGGGCGCGCGCCGCGACGCAACACGCCGGCGGGCATAGCGAGCTTCTCCCGCCGCCTCCTCCCTCTCCTCCTCCGCCTCCTCCCCTCGCGCCTTCGGCATCGTCGGCGTAGTCGCTCTGCAGCTGGATCCTCGCCTCCGCCCGCTCATCCCCGCCACTCTCCTCCTCCTCCTCCTCCTCCTCCTCCTCGTCGCCGCCGCCGTCGTCGCTGTCCACCCGGTGAAACACGACGGCGACGCCGCCGTCGTCCTCTACGCACAAAGCCCGCTGGCGCGCAGCGCGGTCCCGGTCCCGGTCGCCCATGGTGAGATGTGACGGCGGCTGAGCGGCAGCATGCCTCGGGACAGGAGGTGTCGTCCGCTTTCTTCAGCAGCACCCACCCGCCTACTCCCGGGAGGCCGGGAAGGCGAAGTTAATGACTAACCTCGGTGGGAGGCAGACGCGGTCCCGTGCGGTGGTTGCTTTGCCCGCTGGGGGGCGGAACTGGACCCGAAAGCGGCACCGCGGGAAAATTAAAACATTAGCCAGCGTGCACGAGGGAGGCAGTGGAGATGTGAACCAACCACAAGTGGCCTAAAGCTCTATAATGTACAGAGGGGGGGGAAGGAAGCATATGTCTACATAATAACAACAAGAGGTCTCAGTGTTGGATGATTATGACTTTATTTGTTTTCCCCAAAACTAACCCTAACCCATAATTATGTATGAGTGGGAGTTGGCCTGTGGTCGATTTACTGTAAATAATAATTTAAAAACATTTATAGTGGCAAATAACCCCCACCCCCCACCAAAAAAAACAGAATCTGTGATTTAACATTTTAGTACTTTATTAACACTGCTGTACAGAAAATACAATGAGCGAGATGACAAATGAATGGCTATTATCTCCTATTCTCAGCTAACCAGATCAGACTGGCACACCGCTTTGCAGAAGCAGCATGTTACGCGGCGTGTCAACGTCAAATTCTATATCTATAAGAAAAATGAATTGGTCTAGGGTCTTCTCTACATACAAAAGCAATTAACCACAAATTAATTTTCACCATACTGTAAAAAGGTAAACATTATATTTGGCAAACCAGTGAAGCTGTTATTCGGTCCTCCTTTGTGTCAGACTAAGAGGACCGTGTGAAAGCACAGGTACCAGGTGCTGCACAGTGGTTGGCTTTATAGTTACAGAGTAAACACAACAATGGTTTTGTCCCATAATCCACTTCCGGTGAGGCATCCATCAGGCATCGACACCCAGTGTCTGCATCTCGCGTGTAGTCTTGATTAACTGAGGGTCAACGGTCGAGTAGGATGGACAGATAAGGTTTTTTTTTCTCAGTTTCTTGCTGCGTTTAGAGGATTCGTTTGATATATTAGGGTCACTTCTTTGTGGTAAGTTATTACAAAAGACTATTAGGTTGACGAGCAAGCAAAATGGGCTGGAAAAATGTGCATAATCACCAAAAAGTTGTTCTAACTTTATGTATATTTGGTTGGAAGCTTGTATTATTTTCAAGCGCAAGTCTTATAGTGACAAACTACTCCTCACCGCGGCCAACTCGTTGCAGCTGTTAAATGATCACAAAGCTTGGCTTACATTCGAATTTGAAAAATATTTTATGAAATTGTCCATCTTCTACAAGCAGACGAACAACCCTGACCTGGTGTGTGACCCATTGGTTGTGTAGAAAGACGACATATCTTCCATCGTGAATATTCTCTCTAAACGACATTCGACTTTGTAGTCAATTTAAAGACAAAAATTACGAAACGTTTTTTTTCTATGTTCGTAATTTCTTTTCGCCAAAAAAAACACACTTTTACCTGAAACCTTCAGCTTGAATGTTTTTCCCATTTGCCTGTTATTGCAAGATCATTAGCACTACCAAACTCTTTCCTATCAAATACAAGATAAAAATGCATGGAAATGGAGAGACATAGATGTATGATTACCACTAACTATAAAAACACCCGCAAAGATAGAATAATAGAAAAAAATGTTTTCATAGCTTGTTTTTCCTGAAAGATAGTCAGCTCGCACTCTTAAGTTTTTTCAAATGGAGATTAAGGCATTTTCAAATAGCGAGTAATCAAGATGAAAATATGAGGAAAATGATAGAAGCTATGCCAAACGTTGGCAGCAGAGACTGTATTTTCACTAACACGGAAAGAATATGAAATTAATTCTCATTGATCATAACAAGTGTAGGAATTTTGACCATTTCATCTCAACTTAAAAGTCCCGAACTGTGTGGTGGAAAGACACAATCACGAAAGATAGCATCGGAATGGTATTGTACACCATTTATCCCAAATTAGACGAGAGGTTTAATTACTCAAATCGATCATCAGGTGCTCATATATCTGAGTTTTCCCCTTGAAGCTGGATGCGAGTAGGAACACGCGGCTGTCGATGGAAACCAAAGAAAATGCTCGAGGTGCCTGGATATTCAGCTCCTGAGACGGGACGAACTGGCTCGTCTCAGCGTCCCACTGGTAGACCTGCGTCAGTGAATAATCACTGCCCAGGATGGAATACTGCCAGTTGCCGACGGAGACAGGCTGGAACACCATGGAGCCGCGGGAGGGAAATGTCTGGACCTCCTTGAACATGGCACCGTCCCAGCGCATCACCTTGGAGTCCCCGATGAATCTTGTCAAGCAAATGAACAGCTCACCTTTGGAATGATTTAATGGACAGTTTAGTTTACACACGCGGCCGCTAAATCTGGATCTGAAACAGAAAACTTCAAAAAGACAGTGCATGTAATTCCAAGTAACAGCTGGTAATCTATGGCTGCTTGGCAAAGAGTCACGAGTAGATCATCTGTGCTAAAAAACGGTGACATCGCCCGTTACCGCACACAAAACCAATGCCTATGAGGATCTTAAGCGTAATAGATCACAGCACACAAGGGTGTGATACATTAATGTTAATTCAATCACATCAAAGGAAATACGGGGTAAACACTTTGCTAGCCGTCGGCTACGCCGTCTCCATATTGAGAGCCATGTGGCGGCATTCTATGTGTTCTGAATCATTTTCATCCATCGAAAACTCAACGTAAATGAAGCAACAACTGGGTGCTTCCAGGGAGTATTTTGAGTCCGTGCAAGAATAAAACGCTTACAGCACTACTACTCGAGCTGCGGCTCTGACCTTTGACCTGGAAGTGTTTGACAGAGAAGACGTCCTCCATGTCCGGTATGTCAGTCCTGCGTTCAAACTGTTTCTTGCTCCTGTTCCACTGGTAGACGACGGGCCTCTGGGAGCTGCTGGACAAGATGAGGTGGGGTTTGCCGGAGATCTCCAGATATTCCACGTCCGTGTCGCGGAACCACGGGTGGAGTGACTGGTGCGAGTAGAAGCCATTGCCGTTCCATTTGTACACGGTGGTGGAGCCCGCCTGCGAGGAAAAACATGTGCAAAATGTCAGCTCAAGCGGTGGAAAACCAGACGGACGGATCTGTGCTCGGTGTGGGCAGAAAGGTAAAAGGCCAACAAGGCAAAGGTCGGCTGACATGGACATGACAGACACACCTGCACAATCAAACGTAATCACATCAGGCACTTTTGAAAATGAGCAGTTCTACCTTAGAGCTGTCAGCGATGACAAAGAAAGACTCTCCGTCGATAACGAACGTCTCGATGTCGTTGGGTTTGCGAATCTTCAGGATGTCGATGTCCTGGATCTTGATGAACCTGTTGGCGGAGGTGTCGCGCTTGTAGATGTGCGAGCCCCCGAACAACTGGGCCACGATGACAAAGAGGTGGTCGTCGATCACCATGGGCTTGCAGACCACAGTGGAGGTGCCTGAGCGGTAAAAAAATAAATAGTTATTATCGGAGAGATGACCTCTTTAACAATAGGTCACAGGACTCCACCGTGACAGCGATGCTGCCCTTTGCTCGCGCACATGAACCCACTTTCGATGGTGTCGTAAGTTCTGAAGGTCATTTCCACGTGATCCCATTCCAGGAAGCTGCACGTCCCCGCGAACGGTTGCGCAAACACGACAAACTGATCCTCGCCAAAGGCGAAGGCCCCCACCGAGATGGACTCGAACTTCAACGACTGATAGGAGGCAAACTCTGAAAAGAACATGACACGATGACGAATTCCGTCCTTCCATCTTGTCCATGGGAACAAAAAAGGGAAACTAGAGTGTAGAGGGTGAGGAAGTTAACCAGTGACAGATGGCTAATGTTGGTTTAGTGCTCCTGTGACGGAAGATAATACCCGCTATGATGCAGTCAAAGGAATGCGGCAGCAGGTCATTGATCTTCTTCCCCTGGTGGACCGGCGGGCCGCTGCAGTAGATCTGGTCCAGGGTGGCGTTAGTGTGGTGCATCCACTCCACCAACCACTTGAGCTTGCAGTCGCAAATTAGGTTGTTGCCACGGAGATCCCTGCACGCACGCACGGATCGTTTTTTGAGGACACACAATCATAATTGTATTTACAATTGAAACATATAATTCAGGCTTATTATTTTCAACCCCAGTGTCTGTTTACTGCCCCCCCCCACCACCCCTCCCCTCACCCCACATCCCCTTCTGGGTTGCACTTTGGCTTTAAGCCAGGAAAGCCTCAACAACAAGTGTCCCATCTCCTGAGTGGTCTCTACTGGAACTCGCATGTGTGTATTTAATCCACACTCACACGGCTTATTCTACAGTGTCCTTAGACACAAGAAGCGAGATTCTTCTCACTTCATTTAATCTTCATTGTCTCCAGATTCTGTCTTTTGAAACCTCTGTTTCATGAGAGATTACCTTTTTCATTCTTTACTATGCCACCATAAATCACAAAGGAAGATTTTGCACAATTGCTGTACGGACTTTCCCATCCCCGCCAAAAAATAGTGTGTTCTATCAGTCCACTTGAATATTTCAGAAAAAAAAACTAAAAAAAAAGAATGAATTAGCTGATTAGTCACCCGAGTGAAAGAAAGACCAAACTCACACTTTTGTCAAAGCATCCATACCCTTGAAGACATCTCTTGGCAACGTCTCAAGGTTGTTGTAAGCCAGACTTCTAATGAAAAAAAAGAGACAATATAACCCACACAGCGATGGAGTTAATGGTGGACCGTACCTGGCCTGCACACTGCACAACGACGTATTACACCGCGACAGTTTTCTTCTGTTAGCCAAATGGACTTGAGGTAGAGTAGAATTAACTCATTCAAACAAAGTGACAAGCAACCTAATGTAATAGAGGCCAAAGCTTTGACAACTTTTGGGGGACATTGTTAAATAATGTAACAGCTGTCAAATAATGAATAGTTAATCAAGTGAATAATATATCTACCTGGCTGTTAAAACCAACCAAACCCTGACCCTTTGGAGACTGAACTCCAAACCAGAGAAGTGAATGAAGTGAAATGTCAGCGTAATTCGTGAACACTGCATTATTTATTTGAGGGTTGGTTTTCCAGAGAGACGCAGGCCATTTTACTTGAGAATTTGAACAGGATAGATGGAGCAGGGCGGTGAGGATTTCCGTCTCTGTGCTTTAATGACGTATTAAAGGTTCTCTAATGTGTTCATCCGACATCCTTTGTTCCTCAAAAACAAACAAAGCTTTGAAACAGGAAAAGAGCACTTTATCCCATCATATCACATGCACAATACATAAACACAAAGTTATTTCCTAGACAATTCCACGGCCAGGCACAGTGACTTCCTGGATTCAAAGCTGGTTTCCCCGTAAAACGTAACGTTGTTGTATTCTGTTAAGACAAAATGATTGTGTGATTTTGTGATTGACTTTTCCCCAGTTGTTATTCGCCGTTTTCAGTCTTTATGCTGACCGACTCGTGGCTGCACCTTCGTATTGAGTGGTATGGTATTGATCTTCTCCTCCAACTCTTGAACAACAACAAATGAATGAGGGTATTTCCCAAAAAGGGTTCAACTTTAATGCGTCCCGTAAATATTTGGCATTCGCTAGTTTTTGAATGGAACATTAATACCAGCTCTTCTGTAATTGCAGAAGAAATTGTATCATAGGTCAGAATCTCATTGTCTGCTTTCTCTCCACGAGCCACTAGAGGGATGACGTTTTGTCTTGTATTGATTATGCTCTCATAATGGGATGTTTGCTGCATCAGTGAACAAAGCATGCTGAAAAATCCTCTGATGTGGATTTAGCCTCTATCTGTCAATAATCAATGACATCCCTGCTCGAGGCATGATGAACGCAGGCTGACAATCTGCTTGCTTGCAATCAGTGAAGTTATTCTTTTTAGAAGCACGAATGGTAGAAAAACTATTGATTTTTTATTTTAATCAGTCCCAGTTTATGTAACTTATTGTTCCCCATTAATTTTCAACTAATACTTGTATTTGCAGTTTCCTTCATGCTTCTTTATCAAAAGAGCTGTTCATTCTTCCAGCGAAAGCATGCATGTATAAATCCTGGTGAACTGTTTTCCCATTATGTCTGCATTCTTTTCTTTACAGTACAACATTTCCTAAACTTGAAAAATAAAACATGCATCCAGTCAGAAACAAAAGCATGCAAGCTTTTAGGCTACCCTGCATTAACTCAAAATGTGTCAGATACTTGGAGAGAGAGAGAATACTGGTCAGTCAGTGTAAGGTTGCAGTAGCGTTATATTTACTCTTGACCTACAGGTCATTCATGTTCTTGTTTATTTTTAGAAAGCTTTGGTTTTGGCAAGCTCCACAGTTCAGAAAAATTGAATGGCGTACACGTGACTATGTCCTGTATCAAGGTTTGGTTCATTTCTGTCAACAAAATGTGCCATTGTACATAAACAGCGTAAACACAGATACAGTGCATGCTATTCATTACTTAACACGATGCAGTCTGCAGAAGACACACCGGCACTGCGGGTCACGTTAGTGAACGTCGGAACGCTGTGAGACATCTCAGCTCAGAAAATCGTTCATCTTGCTATGCCAAAAATGTGTGAAGAACAACTCTGCTGATCTACTAAGGCAACTGGACATCCTGATCTGCCCTTCAGCAACCGGATCCCAGTGAACCTTCAGCCTCGGACGTCACCGCTGGCAACAGCACTTCTGCCTAGCTTTGCATTTCTGCCAGTGACAAAGTGATACCGCAAGAGGAAAACATATGCACGGCCTGTGTTAGAATCACACGAATACTAATAATCCTCTTCCACAGACAACTGACTTAAATGTTAAATATAAACGTTGCTGCCCTCATTGTAAACGATAAGGAGTAATTATAAAGAATTATAAAACGGTGAGAAAGAAGGAACAGTTTAAATGATTCAAGTGCCCTTTTTGCAGAATTAAATTATGCAAGTAGAGAAGGAAAGAAGGATAAAAGAAACAGCCCCCGCAGAATTGAAATACTTACAGATGTATCAGCGCTTTCAGGCCCCGGAAAGCATGTGGGGATATCGATGCAATTTGGTTATTTTCAATAAATCTGTGAATGAGAAGTTTTTCATTAGCAATTTGATACGTTCAGATTTACAGTATGACAGTAATCCTTCACTACTACTTCTAAATGCATAAACTGTATACAAACAACAATAGTTATTTACTTTAAAAGGCCATACACAACATCATAAAGATGTAAATGACTTCCTCCTCCAATCGGGAAACATAAGCGACAACACCTGTGTAACATTCCAGCATGAATAATGCCAATATTATAAGATTTAAATTGGAAATGTAATTTCTGACTGATGTCCATGGTGTATGCATATTCAACATTAGTGTATATGCACCTGTGAAATAGTTTATCCCCCCCGCCCCCCTGCTCATCCCTGTACAAGTATAAATGAACCCTTTTATACTTACCATTAAGATAAATACTTACAGGTATTCGAGATGTGGTAAACCCATGAATGAATCCTCATCAATTAGGTCCAATGTATTTGCTGTGAACAATCTGTGGAGAAAAAAACCTGTAAGAATAGTAATATTACAATTCCCACAGCACTCCTAAACCCTCAATTATTCATGTTTCATAACTCAAGGTTTGACTAGTTTGAACTTAAAAGAATCCACAGTCGGCAGGAAGGAACACAGGCTTGATTTTGTCATTGTGTCTTCAAACTAACTTAATCATCTTGATTTATTGTTTAATATTATTGACACCAGCAACTCTAGGTCACAATCGGAGGATAAGAAGGATGGAATTACAGACAACAGACTTATTCAGCATCCACCGCGGAGAATGAAATAAGAGGAAATGGCCGTCCTACAATAAATGAGAGACGTTTCTGAGTCCCACGTTAAACCAGTAATGTAGGAATAGTTTCCAAGAAGAATACACAGTAGTGGGCACCTCATCCTCAAGTCAAATGCACATGAATCCAATAGATGTTTGGCCATAAGTTTCAACCTTCTATCTGGAGATGTCAAAATGCAGAGAATATAATCATTCATGTTTATTTCTCACTGTATGCGTTGCAAACCAGGGACAGAGACATTTTACACCAACGATGGCACCACAGACGCCTCATTGATTAAGTATAATGGGGGTTAAGAGACCGCAGGTCACCTTGGCAGGAAATAATGACAGAGGGGACGATGCCACTCATTTATTTTCCGCGGTTAAATTGACTCTCCTTCTGGTCACAAGCTTTTGTGCGCATCCAGAATGATTAAGTGCCACCCGAGCATATGGAAGAAGCGATGCCCAGAAAAATGTTTTTTTCCTGAGACAAAGTCATGCTTGTTGACAGCATGCTGTTGTGTGCAATAAGCGGAAACAAAAGTGTGATTAGAGAGCACTTAAGTCTGACCTTGCCCGTGAATTTGCTTATTTGCAATTACAAATTGCCCCATGAAACTCTAGCCTCTCCAAATGTATAATAACAGATGCCATATGTCAAAGAAACGGCGAGATAAACTCTATAGTTATGTGTGTAATTGTTGTTCCTCTTTTTTCTAAGCGCTGTCTTTTGGGGGGAAAGAACAAGTCCATTATTTAGATCTTCTGAGCAAACACACACACACACACACACACACACACACACACACACACACACACACACACACACACACACACGGCTCCTCTCTTGCCAGCCCCTGCTGTTAGTTTCTGTAGCCATGTGGTCTGTTGCATAATCCTGACACCATTACAGAGAATCCCCCTTTAAAATCTGCATATCAGCCGCCACAGAAGTTCTCTGGGGACGTCTTGCCTCATTATCTGGTTCTGTAAAAACGCAGGCATAGATAGATAGATAGATAGATAGATAGATAGATAGATAGATAGATAGATAGATGCATATGGATGGATGGATGGATATACTCACAGCAGTTGCAGGGCAGGCGTGTGAACAAAGCTTCCTCCTACTATTTCATTAAATCCAGACTTGACAAAAGATCTGCAAGGGCGGACAGTATATCAGAAAAGCAAATTGTTCTGTATGATATGAAGTATGATAAAGATGCAAATATCCCGGACACACTCAAATGAGTATTTCCATAACCCTCCTTGACAATTCACCATGTGAACAAATACAATACGGAGAACATATTGAGGTGCAGGGCGCGTGCACTTACAGGGAAACGACGTCGGACGGGAAAGCGTGAGGCACGGATCGGACGTTCTCGCACAGCGCATTGTCTTTGGTGCAGGTGCATCCAGCGGGACATCTGGCCTGTCTCACTCTCCGTCCGTCCGCGAGAATACAGCTGACGGCGGCGACCCAAAGCAGCAGCGTCCATCCCTTCCATCCTGCCACCGCTCTGCCCGGGTACCCCATTGCTCGTGTCCCGGTCGAGGACGATCACTCCCAGCAACTTCTCAGCAAAAAAAAAAAAAAGAAATCCCTCCAGGGTTTGTAAAGCGCGGGTTTGCAAAAAAAAAAGTGTTTGTTGTGATGATAGAAGCGGTGCGTCGTTGCGCTCGGATGCAGGCTCGCGTCTATGCCTCTTGCGTCTCAATGGGAAGGCACCAGTCCAGCGGATTCGTTCTGCAAGGGCGCCGGATTACAAATGCAGGACAGACGGGACACAGAGAACAGAGAACAGAGACACGGATCTTTCTTATTCAGGGGAAAAAAAAGAAGAAGCAATCATCACAAACGATTATGAAGAAGAAAAAAAAGCGACCTATTAGTATGCAGCTTACAAATAAGTTGTAGGTATCAACGCTGCCGGTGTGAAAACAAATAAAAGCGTAAATTGCTGGCAGAGAGAAAGAGAAGAAAGAGATGGGGGGGTGTGGGGGTCGGAGAGGGTGGAAGGCCCCAAGGTGCGCTTTTTTTCATCAGCCGTGCCAGCTATTATTTATGCGCGCTTCAGAGCCGCGCGGGGTTAATGGGAAGCAGCTATTCATGAGCCTCTGTGCAAACGCACCTGCCTCACTCACTCATTCACATGGGGCATCTTTTCTTCTCTGCCTTGGCCTTACAGCATCAACCGCGAAAAGAGGATGAGTTTGTACCGAATGCTTCAAAATAAAGATGATATTGTGACGTAGGAAAATAATGACATTTATTACGTTTTTTTTTTATTCCTTCAAAATCGTAAAACCCATACAATTAATTTATAATAATTATTTGATGGAATGAAATGCAGACCGTATAAAGGACAACACGGCACAACATTTTATAAATAGATGTACTTTAAAGAAAACGATGAGAGCCATTTGTACACTTGACCGGATTGGTCTCTCACTTCCTCTGTTTTGCAGTCACACATTGAGTTCTTTGTTGAGTTGAGTGGGTTGTGGAAAAGTCATGAAACACTGGACTTCTATTCCCAGGCTGGGACGAGCATTCAACCCTACAACCTTTATGACCCAAGTAGCATGCTCTCTTATAGAGAAACATTCAAATAGTATAATACCCCCTTTTTTTCCATTTACAATTAAAAGGCCTGCATGCGTCCTCTTCATTGTTCCTATACAGAAATAAACGATAAGATCTCTGATAACCAATTCATCAGTGTAATTGTTCCAGTTGATCCAAAATGAAAGACATTTTTTTTCAAAATTGTATTTAATGGACAATGTTGTATGATGATGACTTTCACTCTAGTAAAAGGTTTTAAAAAAAGATTCGATAATAACTTAATGGGTGGAGGAATTAGACAAATAAGTAAACGTGAACAACAAACCACAGACTATTTAACTGAAAATATTTTTCTGGATCTTATTTAGAAATTACAAGCGACCCCCCAACGACTCCTGTATTAATATTTATTCATGTCAAAGCGCACAAAGACTTATTTTCAGCCTTTCTAGGCACATTCTCCCAGAATACCTGCATGCAGTTAGACGTCATCATACCACGACTCACTGCCTACGTCATCACTCAGCGACGTACCTTTTATTTTGTAAACACTTTGCGAGCTGAAGACTGGAGTGAGGAAACTGATGGATAGTCTTGTGAAGGTGACGTTTCCTTTGAAGCCGAAAATCTTCCCCCCTTCTTCTCAAACACGTTTCGAAGAACATTTAGTCCTTTGTTCGTTACTTGCCAGTTAGCATGCAGCGCTAGCCAGTTGCCCACAGAGTTGCCTGCTAACGTTGTACTCTCTTGATTCGTTGCTGGTTTGTAGTTATTATCCAAGCATGAAGCAACATTTCACCACACATAAGCGGTCTTTACCCCCCCAATGGTCTCATGTTGGGTAAAAAGGAGCTCCTGTGTTTGCTCAGGTGCACGGAGGTGGCGGCTATGACTCGGACTTCAGCGATGATGATGGTCAGCAAGAGGACCCAGAGAGAGCCCTTAAAAGGTACGATTTCACAACCCTAGACTTACTGTCCTTATATTTCTCATGTATTCAAATACGTGGGGTTGTTTCTGTGCTATCCAAAGTCTGTTTAACAGTGCAGGAGATCAAAGTCTAATATACTGTATTTAAGAGACAAAAGTATTAATCAGTGCCCATCTTTTGCCTCCAGTAGCTTACATGTATACTGATGTGAGTGGACAACCTCGTCCACTAACGAGCTTGCTGTAATCATTTTAACCTTTTTCCAGGAAACACGAAGAAGAAATCTTACAGAAGCCGTTCCAGAAAGGTCGGCACTCCCAGAAAGCTCACCGGAGTTTACACTCAAATGAAGTGGACAGGTGATACTGTGCGAATGCAGTGAAATACAATGCATTCAGACCCCTTCACTTCCTTTATGCTAAAGTCCTTTAAATACATTCTTCATACCCAAAAGTGATGAAGGAAAAACAGGATTTGCATGTGTATTTAAAAAAAAAACACATCTCAAAGCTCTGGTAAATGTCATAGCAGTGAGAGGTTTATAAAGGGGTGTTAAGTCATGGTAAGAATGAATTAAAACAATTGTAGCGTAAGGCTGGAATACAGCAAAATGTTAAAAAATGTTTGAAATCTTATTACGTGAACTGTATATGAGTTTTTTAATTTTACATTCTTTTGTTATCTATGACCATGACAGAGCTTGCTGCTCACTTATTGTCATGTATTTGCTCATCTCAAAATAATTGTTATCTTTTTCTAGGTAGCACAATTAATTTGAATTTAAAAACATTTAATTTAATGCAATTTTCTTTGTTTATCTTTTGTTTAACCTTTCAAATTCTGTTTTCAGAGAGGAGGCCAGGAACAGAAGAGCCCACATCATATCATTAAATGCTGTATCCTTTTCATACAATTATATTTATATAATTCTATACAATTATATATATATTATACAATTATTATTTTTTAATGATTCACGTTATTGTTAGTATGCCATATACACATGTTCAAGCAGTCATAACAAATAAATATATTTGGAAATACATTTGTTGGATGCCAAGTGCTTAGTTCCCTTAATTACACGCCATGCAATGTTTTTACCTTTCAAAGGTAGCAAATTGTAATACACGACAGACTGACCTTAACCAGATGTCTTCAGTTTGAGCGACATAAGAAGTTTGTCGGTGACTACATACTTTATTATGGAGGACATTTGGCCGACTTCAGGCGCTCTGCGTAAGTGTCGTCCCACAGCCAGTCCTGACAATCCGTCATCGGCTGTCAAAAATAACGTGAATAAGTTAACCATGGGTAGTGCATTGTTTTCATTCAACAACATTTTTTAAAAACAATTTGAGCCAGTTTCTGCGCAGTTACCATCTGTTTGAATTGTTTTTTTCCCTCAGAGACAAAGACAAAACCGATCTGGATGTGCTGCGTGAGAATCACCGCTTCCTCTGGAGGGACGAGGACGAGGAGGACATGACATGGTAATCATTCATCATCAACACCTGCCAGTACGGCCTGCTGTAATATTCAGTGTTCTTTCAAATGTTGCTCTGTCTCAGATGACGATGTCTTGACTCTACTTTGCATTTGTTCCAGGGAAAAAGAACTTGCCAAGCGGTATTACGACAAGCTGTTTAAAGAGTACTGCATCGCCGACCTCAGCAGATACAAGGAAAACAAGGTGGGATGAGTGATGTATTATCCAGCTGAAACAAAAATACAGCAGCATTAGGCATTCAGTTGGCATCAAACAACTAGACAGCGCATACAGTAACAGGTAGCTGATTACGCCTGACTAATAGTGACTATTTAGAATACGCCGGCTCACCATTTTGATGTTATGAAATGCTGAAATAAGACGCCAGTTTCAGACGAGAAAGTAAAGGATGTTGCCTTTTTTCTTTTGTTGACAGAATCCAAGTGATCACATATGTAGGTAACGTGCCCTCATTAGGAGGCTGCTGTTAATCAACACACAGTAATGGGGAAAATAACTCCTGGACACACCTGCTTTGAAAATCCAGTTTTTGGTTGAGTTGAGTTGAGTTGAGTGTGATGCGTTTTGGACCCGAACCAACTCTGGTGTCTACTGGGCTTCAAGCCAGGGATTAAAACTGATACGTTAAACTGTGCTCAAATCAAGTGTGACTATGAAGTTGCCAAATCTCACAGAGGTGACTCTCTTATACAACCCATTATCACCTATAATCATTAGAGGCACTGCAGTTTAAAACAATATATTATTATTGTTGAAAAGGGAAGAATGCAAAATATTAATAACAGAAAAATAGCTTGGAAAATACATACAAACAAATATCTGTATATACATGTGTGTATTTATACACACTCATACAATTAATAGCAAGAAAGATACATTACAGAATAAATAAACATGTTGAGGCATTACCGTTTAAACCTTCAACATCGTTCCAGTTGACTCAAGACACCTTATTTAGATTTCCTCAGACATTATTCATATTTGTTAGTGACTCTGAAAGGCACTGATGAGTCCCATTATTCACACAAGTGCAGTCACATACGGATTGTTTGTGTTGGCTACACGAGTAGTGACAGCATGCGGATGAATCACAGATTGCGTTCTGAGGGTGTTGCGGAGTCACTGGCAGAAACACTAATGGCTGCATCATCTGTTGGTTCACGCTTGTACACATACTGTACATACCGGCCCTCCAGCACTTGCGCGGCAGTGGGAGACACTTGAACGCCTCGTCTGCTGTGCTTCTATTTCATATTGTTTGTTGTGGTTTGGTTTTCTTTTGCTGCACCACAAATTGCCCACAAGGGACACACAAAGAATATACTTAGACTGCAGAAGGAATGTCACGCAACAGAATTCAATTAACAGAAAGTTATAAATGCGAATGTCTTTTCTTCCACAAGAAACATTTTTTTTAATGACGGCATAAAGATTTTACGGCTGCCCTATAACAGTTTTTGTTCTGTAGCTTTATTTTTTCTATGGAGTTCAGATTCTAACAAAATCATAATTTGTTTTCTGTCTCAGTTTGGATTCCGTTGGCGGACTGAGGATGAAGTGGTTTCTGGCAACGGTAGGACATTGACTGACACCATCCTAGATTGATTGTTTTATATAATTATTTTTTTTAAATTTGTTGTGCAGTGTAATATTAACATTAGAATTACATATTATTTGCCGATGGCCAAGTCCTAATTTAAAACATTTTTCTGGTGTTTATTGTATTCCTGCTGGAAAAAAGTGAAATGTGCAGATTTAATTTAACCTTTGAAACCATATACAGTCACGATTGTTATGTATTACATTTAATATGTACATATTATGCAACATGGATATAAGACATACCCAAGATTGTCATATCTGCCAACTTGCCCGTAAAACCGTTCACCGCCTCCTCCACTAGATGGCGACAGAGATTTATCGAGCACTTTACACAGTGGATACTTCCTAACACAGGTGTCATTTCACTTTGACTTTATGCCTTTCACTTACGTTGTCTTTGGTTTTGAGAACAATCCCCTCCAGCCATTGCCACCCCCCCCCAAATACCGTTCGATTGCTGCCTATTCTGTCTCACACCGAAAGAGACACCTCATTCTACAGAGCCTCCTTTGACAGATTGGCAGCGCTTTGATGATTAATTGTTCAGGATTAGTACGACACCTCTCGGTCTGCTGCTCCTCCGTGTGACAGTGACTATTTATAGGTTTACCTCGAGGGACAATATCGGTTGCTCGGGGAGGATAAACCTGCCTCTGCAGCTCATTGATATGCTTTGGGACATTCACAACAGGCACAACATTTCACCTTTCAATTATATGCATATGTTTGCATCGCTGCAGCCTCACAAGCATAGCCAGTGCTCCTGAGAAGGCTGTCTAAGCCAATATATTGTTCCAGATTAAGACTGTGTAATCCTGGTCTCTGACAGTTCACCCCTTTGTAGTAATACTCTACAGGAAGTGGGATTAGATCAGGTCAGAGGTACTTCACTTCAACTGTCACGTCTGTGATTTGTTTACATTAATGATTCCCACAGAAATACATCTTAAGCAGTATTTAGAGCATGGGACACTGAACTCTCCAGTGAAATCAATACTAATCTAATCCTGTAAGGTAGAACCAAGGTCCACGCTCAGGCGGGCAGGGGGGGTTGTGCTAACTGAAAGTTAAAAGCGTCAATGTGGCAAGTTAAAGGTGTAAGAAGTGCCTATCGTATCGCCTCAGGAGGATTGATTCTTCCATTAGTCACGCCTGCGTTAAGGTCCAGGTTTCCCCATGTAGTGCTGGTCACGTGACCACGATCCACCTCTGATTACAGATGAATTAAACACCGGCCACCGCTCCTTTTGTCCCAATTAAAGTGAGCCCTGACAAAGAGGCACTTCCGCTCCCCCACGGGCGCCTGTTTGGGAAATCATCCACTAATCATTTCCTGCTCGCTGTGCACTTCGGGTCATGTTGGTATTAGGCAAGGCTGTCTACTCTTCACCCAATCAGGTGGATTACAAAGAGCGCTCAGCTTTCTTTTTCACGGCCCCGGTGGGATACGGGATGAAGGAACGTGCAGTACCGAAAAGGTTTCCTTCTTCCAAAGCTTTTTTTGTTTAATATGAAAGAGAACAAGACGGGAAAGATTGTGTCCTTGAATTAATTACACGAGATCAGGATCAAGTATCCTCCCCCGGAAGGCCTTCGTTTGAAAGGAGTCCTTGAAGAATGCGATTTACTTTTACTTCACGCTCGCTCTCTTTTTGTGTTTGACTCAGAAACATTCATACCTGAAGGATCCAAATGAAGGCTTCTAATTGTGTTTTAGGAGGAAAATAATTCCGTCTTTGAACTATAAAAACACCTGTAAACAGACCTTAAATGGTACCTGATGCAGGATTTAGTAACGATTTTTCTAACCAAACAAGGTCAAACAAGCATGTTGTTTGCAATGACTTCTGTAATCCCCTGCCCCCCCCCCGCTGAACAAAAACGTCGCTCTATAGTGCTGCTTGTGGTAAAATAAAAACTCCCATTCTACCTTTAAACTATTTAGCCAAAGACGATGTCATTTTCTTTCTTTCATAATGCTTCCGTAACACATCAGCATACGGTTATGAGCGATGGATTCAGCCTAATAGCTTCTTCGCTTTCAATTAATCATTGTACATCATGATCGTGTTATTGTCTGTTAGCTGGACACAGATCAGAGGAAACACAAATCTCTTCACAGCACTTCACATCGGAATCGTCGCCGAGCTGTTGTTGGATGCCGTCCATTTGAAATGCTAATCTACGATGCTGGGCTTTAGTTGGATACAATATCTGCAAAGGGTTTCAGATGTGGAGAAAAAGATGTTGGTCAACATTTTCCAGAGAATAGCTAATCATCCCTCCCCCCCCCCCCCCGCCCCTACTGGAGATGTTAACTTCCTCAGAGTGAGAGACTGGACTTGTTGAGAAGAACTCGTGTTATATTCTGCCCAAACCTTCTCTTGTAAGCATTAAGTCTTAGCGGTCAAGAGGGGGGGTCAAAGGCCAAAAGATGTTTTGGGCTCGCTGTCTGTGGGAGAAAATGGTCTGATCCAACTGTCCTAGTTTAAAAAAAACGGTTTTGACATCACACGCTCACAGGCGTGTCATCTTCTGTTCATATACTTCCCAATTTAAAAGGTGTGATCCAGCATGTGCGGTAGCTTGAACGTGTTTCCATGTAACCTGTGTGTTGATTCTTGCACATTTGCATTCAAAATATCTGTACTTTTCCCCCAGTAATCTACTGAGACAGAGAGAATACAGGTCTTTGGACACGTACGTTGAAATCAAGCGCTCCTTAGTCGAGTAGATACCAGATAGATACCAGTTGCAAAAGAGAAAAGAGTATTGAACTTGAGGTTAGTTGTCCAAACTGCTCGCCCACGGGAGAGGAGGCCGTTTGCACGGTTTGTTCCACAAGCTGAGGATTTATCAAAGGCAGCCTGGCCAGTGGAGAGATTGCACTTTTTAATTATATGAGTATAATCATTCTTACTGATTAATTAACTTAAACAAATAGAATGTCAGACCCTTCAAAAACAAGACCAGTGGACCTAATCACAGCCGAGGACTCGAGCCAGCAGGGTCTTGTGTTTTTAGCCGACGTCATAGATCCTTAATCCGCCGCGGCATGTGAGGTGAAAGCACACGTCGATCGACGTCACTTCACCCGGACGTCAACGCATCCTCCAGGTTAGGCACCCTTTCCTCTCGCCGAGCGAGCAGCCTTTCTGGCCCCTGAGCCGAGGACGCACTGCTGACGCACTTACTCCCTCCGTCACTCCCGAGGGAACCCCAGAGACCAGATCAGTGCCACCGTAAGCTCCTCTGGGGATAATGGGCGGGCTTTGCAGCGGCTGGAGGGATGCCTGCGGGGGGGTGAGGTGATGCAAAGAAAGAGAGAAGAGAAGGAGCAGGTGGGGGGGGTTTAAAGGAGGGAGGGTGTGGAGAGCAGCGGGGATTGAAGGTCACCCGACAGGATCTCAAGCCTTTGGAGATTTCAATTTTCTAGAATAAAAACGTTCTTTTCGCTACGCCATTCTCCTCTACTACCACATATCGATGGGTCAATTCCCTAAAAACTATATTTTTACAATAAATGTGGCTTGACATTAAATCTCGTATCACGTATTCATGCAAAATGTTACGGCCGGGTGCTCCGTAAATTGCTGCAGATGAGATCCAGGTGGCTGAAATATAGTGTGAATGTCATTGAGATGTCTGCAAGCAGGAATCCAGCACACGTGCTCGTTTTGTCTTCCAGGTCAGTTTGAGTGTGGAAACAAACGCTGCGAGACCCAGGAAGGCCTCAAGAGCTGGGAGGTGAATTTTGCCTACGTGGAACACGGCGAGAAGAAAAACGCACTGGTCAAACTCCGTAAGCATAAAAACCCGGGTGGTTCTGTCTTGAAAGGCGTCTGCGTCTGAGGGGATGTCGTCTTGTGGGTTTTTTCATAGTTTTAAAACCGGGCTTATAATAATCCTGATTTCAGTATCACACTGCGGAAAATCCTGTTAGAATAATTACCATAATTGGACGACCCGCCAGGTATCATGAACTCAGTCAAGTGGGAAATGTTACCGAGCTGGTTTAGGAGATGGCATCCAGACGACTCGACATCTTTTCCAATTTGTAATAATAAGTTATTATTTATTAACAATAATAACATGTCAACTGTTTTTGACAGCGTCGAAGCATCATCCGGCGAACTTAACATTTGATAAATGTAATAGAGTTGTTGTTACACTGAATTAATCAACACATTTCTCAGAACACCCGAGCATTCGAATTCTACAAAGTCTCAAACCGTAATGTTCTATTATAGATGTCATTATGCACAACACAGGAGTTCCACGGGGTTATGGCCTGAGACTACTTTACGTCAGTGTACACATGATTTATTTATCAGAATTACATCATTGAAGTATAATAGCTGGTCTTGACTTAAATGTGTAAACAAGTTATTGTATAACAGGATAAAAAGTGCAATAATTCATCTAACAGCACCGGTCCTGTAATAATGATGATGAAATTAAAATAATAAAATGCAATGTTAGGTTGGTATTGATGATGCCCTTTTGTCTCTGTTGTAGGATTATGTCCCGAATGCTCCTTCAAACTCAATTACCACCACAAGTAAGTGCTTCTCATTTCTTTGACATTACTTTACCAATGTGGATCTCCTAAAGGAGCGGCTGAAAGATTACGGACCGTATGCAAGGTCTCCTTTGTGAGGAAATGGATGCAAAGCCTTCATCTGTTTAAAGCTCAAGCCAGCATTCATTCATGCGCCCCCGAAAGTGCCCTCGGTCTCACAAACGCTGCTGTAATCGGCTGCTCGTTCAAAGTGTAGGTCTGTTTGCAGGAGGAAGGAGGTGAAAGCAAAGACTAAACGGCCATCGGAGGAGAACCAGGAGGCACCACAGAAGACAAAGAAGGAGAAGGAGAAGAAGAGGAAGAGGAAGAGATCGTCCTCGCACTCCAAAAAGCAGCGACACAAGAGAGACAGAAGTAAAGCTCCTGTCCTCGTCCATCCAAATAAATTGTCCCGTTAAATGGGCCAGTAATCGGATCAGGTGCCACCCGCCTGCGGTAGCAGCCTGGTTTGAGTTTTCTTCTTGGACATGAGCTCATCTTTCTTGTGCATTCAGCATCATTATTCTATAACGACTCCCTTTTGAGTATTAAGGGAAGTGTTATTTTGTAACTCTCTCTTGTTTCTCCCCAGATCCCTCCGCCTCTTCTGACAACTCAGAGGAGTCGAAGGACTCGGACAAAGGTAGAGTTCATAACTCTCACACACACAAACACACACACACACACACACATAAAACAAAAACAAGACCCACACATTGGGCTCCCCAGGCTTTTCAGCTCCTTTTAAACTTGAGAAAACCCCCTGACAACCCTTTCTGAAAACGCATCTATTAGCCCTGTGTGTCAGAGTTATAGACAGACTGCAGGTCTGCTTTTCCCCTCCTCATTCCTCTGGAGGTTTTTCTTTTTTTAATCTTATTCCCTTTTGCCCTTCCCCGTGAGCAGCAGGAAATGCAGTATGTCTTTTACCCCATGTCCCTGTCCTGTTTATCCAGGATCTGGATGGATGGATGGATGCATAGATGGGCGGCTGCCTGGTGGTGTTATGCTCTTGAGAATGCATGGAATAAATTGTATTATCAGGCTTTTTAATCTACAACATGTCGTTTTTAACTACTTTGTAGGTTTATTTTCAAGGGTAAGTCAAATTCAAGGGCCAACTAAACATTTGGCCGATCAGCGAATGATTCAAATGTTGGTTCTGACAAAACTGGATCAATCAAAATCTTTAAAAAAAAACCCAACTGAAAATGGGTTATTGTTCAGCCTCGCTGTTCCTCCTCCAGTATTGACTGACAAGCTCGCTGAATCTCACTCACTAGACTCTGAAGCAGGTGCTGAACCAAAGAGCCAATCAGAAGGCGACCACTGGCGAGGACCCGCCCCTGCGGTGGAGGAGAAGTCAAGGTGAGGTTGCCAGCGATTGTGCATATTAAATCTGACCCAGTAAGCTGCTGTAAAACCATCGGCCTTTACCACTTAGCGTCCATATGTTACTGATCTCTATTATAGCACACAGGTAGACTCCTTAGGTACTCGGCACAAAGCACCTCCCAATAGTCGGCAAAGTCGCTAAACCTTTAACACGAACCGGTGGAGCTTCTTCTCACATTTCAACTGCTGTTGCTTCATGTACATGTTACAGTTTTATTCTGCCACCGTAGTACTATAAAGAGAACCATCATTAAGAACTAAAAGTTTAATTTCTCACAGTCAGTTAAGCCAATAAAGGCTTCGCGAGGTCTGTTTGTTTGTATTCTTTGCCGATGAGTATAAAAGCATCCCACTGACCGTCTGAGTCAGGACTAACGTTTGTGACTTTTGTTTGTTGTTCCCAGGGAGGAGGAGTTTGATGAATACTTCCAAGACATGTTTCTGTGAGGACACGCAGACATCGAGCGTGTTTCGTATCCAATCTTGTGTAGCTGTTGGTTTATGTGATTGTATGTTTTGGGACCGCTGCGGGAAAATAAAACTGCACGCGCACTTGATCTACTTTGTCTGTCAATCCCGCCGCTATCCGGGCATAAAATGATTGAAAATGTATTTTTTTTCCCCCGTGGGCAGCATAATGGCTCGATGGACGGCGTGTTCCCTCTGTCCAGACTGACCCAACGTTTGTCCAGATTGAAATGTCTCCCCGCCAATTACTTTCAGTGCAGATATCCATGCTGCTTTTGGGGGGACGGTAATTACTTTACGGCAACGTCGGTTAAAAACGCTGAATATTATTGACACAAGCCTTTTTCAAAGCATACATTTCGACTTCGTGGTAGAAAAGGGCACTTGTTTCCGATTCCATTAATGATGTCTCTGTTCTGTTCCCGTGTCCCAGTCAGCTGTGACACTGAGCCAGCATGCACAGTGCTTGAATAGTTATTTTCTTATTTTCTCCTCGGTTTCTCCCGCTGTGAAAGTCCAAACGGCCTCTTGTGGATTGCTTTTTTTTTTTTTTTTTCTTCCAACATTCCCATTAGCCTCAGCTGTGCATTTTATTATTTCTCAAATTGGATATGAAAACATGCCGATGGGAACTTGGGTAAACCCAGCACGCCTGTTTTAAAAACGAGCATTTAGCGCAAAATCGCCGCGCGTGACCGTTTGTCACAACCCGCCTCATGGAATGTGACGAGCGGGGCGTCCGCGCGAGCTTCGACTTCTAACAGCCAAGACAAAGGTTATTCCAGCTGAACGGAGGTGTCAGCCAGAAGAGGTCAACGCTGGGCGGGGGAACGGCCCTAAACATCTTTTGGCGAATGCAAATAGCCGCGCGCTCTGCCGTTACATGGATTAGCTCAAGATGTTCCAACGGCCGAGGGCTGGAAATCGCAGAGAAGCAATCTGCTGCGGGTCGATAAAGACGGTTCTGTCCGCCTTACTGAAACCGCTCTGCTTCCTCGGGAGAAATGATTCATGGCAAACAGGTGGTTAGGCGGAGCGAATGGTACATTGAGTAATAACAGGCGGTCGTCTCTGAGTGGCGGCGGGATGCTATTTGGCCCTCGGCCATCTTTTTACACCTGGATGCGTTTATGGTTGATCGATGTGGTCTTTTCTTTCCCCAGTTAAAGATTCTTCTTGCCTTCACGTGGCTCATATTCAAGAACAACAACTTGGAATATAAAGCTCCCCTTCCTGCCACGATTGAGACTTTTTCTGCTAATGTTCCTTTTGGAAATTGCGTTTACTTCTGACAATTGTTGTATTCAAACACAATCCAGAATCTTCGAATACATTGAGCTGTTTCTGGTTTAGAGAAGAAAGGTTTTTGGGGAGGAGGGAGAGGGGGGGGTTCTACCATGGGCAGTAGCTTTGTACCCACCGACCCCTAAGTTGTCAGGGGGAACGACGGGTGAAGTCGATGCAGTGGTTTGAAAGCGCCCTGCAAAATGATAGATTATAGTGCTTTTCGTGTTCATTAGTCAAACGCTCCATCTCGTTAGCAGAAACCTGTGAAGCACCCTCAAACTACACACACACACACACTCTCTCACACACACGCGCTGGATTGCACTAGTGAAGCACTGCTGCTCTTCATTTCACACTAGCGTTTTTTGCATGCAGGATCTGCAGACAGCAGGACGTAGAAGGAAATAGCCAGACAACGGTGAATCGAGCAGGGATCAGAACCAATCCACTGATCCTCTTTCCCCAGAGGCTCATCCAGCTTTGGAGCATCTAAGATCCTTGCACGATATATATGTCTAAGAACGAGCGCTGCCGCAGCTAAGCTGGAGGTTTCCTAAGTTCATTCTAATAGCAGATGAAAGTATCCCTTATTTCCACGTTGAGAAAAGGTAATTGTGTTTATATTTACTCTTCCATAAATTCCTTTATTTGCTTACACATATTACATTTCATGATACATACATACAGTAGACGTTCTCTCATATTTCAAATGTTGGATGTCTTATTTGTAAAAGACAGTTGATGTGACAATTGGAGCGTTATTTGGTATTTGACAAAGGACCCTTAAAGGGAGAGGCTATTTGGATCACTGGAGGAAGAAGTGTGCTGCAGGAACATTGAGGTAAATTTATGGTTGAATAGTGAAAACGTTTTTGCTTTTAGTGAATGTTTCTGCACAAGCAGGTCTCCAGTGACCGCCACAGCTCCTCACTTCACCTCCAGCAGCAGAAAAGGAGTTTCTAGGTAGTCCCAAAGCCATTCTGATTGGATTAAGTTGAGATGACATTATGCAACGGCTCGCCTTTAACCCCCGGTTGGCCGAGTGCTCCGGAGGGCGCACTGTGGAATGCACTGTCAACTCAGGTGACCGATCCAGTTCAAAACAGCTTTACAGGGAGATTCACACCGATTCGACATCTAACAGCAGTCATTGCGTGATTCCTCACACCATTGCATCAGTGACGAAAGAAGCAGAGAACTTTGGCCCGTATCACCATTCAATCGACGTTGCTATGGATCTGCATCTGACGTACTTTTTTTTTTTTTTAACACAAATGGTCTGCACATGCGTACAAGGCTTTGGTAGCCGGCTTTCCTCCTCTGTAAGAAGGGTATTTAAAGTCTAAAGCTGTGTGGATCTCAAACACTGGCCCGCAATCAAATCCTATCCAATCTTCTTACAGGAGAGGCAGATCTACGGTCCCCCGTTTGACTGACTTTGATCCAAATTAGTTTTACACTTCAGTTATTCTCAAGTTTACACAATTTACAATTCCTATGTAATTGACTATATACATGTGCACATTTAAAGGAGGTTATATTTCTTGAATGGATATGGCTATAAACACAGGTTTAAATATTATGCATGTTTTTTTCAGGCGTTGGTTGGACCTGTTGGACAACAGCTTACAGGTGTTTTTACAAAGCTGGCGCCATAGTTGTGCAAAGTGGATACACTTTCCAGACGCCCGATTTGGATTTTAGCGTGCATTTACTCACAGATTCAGAATGTCACAAAAATCATCTCAAACTCTCCATGTGTGAAGACAGCTCAAGTACAAAATTGTCAGACAAAGAATCCCCCCAAAAATATATGCATATAGATTGATTGCATATTAAAATAAATACACAGCTCATCAGCGCCTTTTCGAGGTATGAGAAGATCAGCTGTTGGTTTGTTTTACAGCACTAAAAGATCCTTCGGATTGCAGATCTCTGCTCTTGTGTTTGAGGAATTCATCCCACAACTCGTGCTACGTTAAATATGAACAGAATATTAAACCCATTCCTCTGATCCCAGTGAGTATAAAGTTACGAGGTCGTTGCCCCTGCCGGCCGGCCGGCCGGCCCTCCACTCATGGCCTGCCACTGCCAAAAGTGCGTTGTGCAACCTACGGTGCTACTGTAACCTGTGGTTAATGACAGCCAAAGGGAGCACTGTGTGACAACTATTATTTTGGCATGCATACACACCACATGCATCATATCCTGTCTCCTAGTTTACAGATTTGACTTGAACGTTTACTTGCAGCTTCTTATCCAACCGTAGTTCCAAACCATACATGTCACGAATGTGTTGATTATTGCTATCGATTATATTAAAGAGGAATACACTTCGTCCGTGTGTATACATTATTTTTAAGTTCTTGGTTGCCTTGAAGGGGGGGGGGCGTCTCAAACACATCACATCTGCTGAGTCAAACCGGTTGTTCCTCTTGCAGTCCCAGCATCACTTCTTGGTGAACGTCGCTGACTCTTCCCCTCCTCGGAGAACAGTGAGGCTGACTGACAGACCCGACCAGAGACCCGACCTGAATACGCTAGGCTAAAGAAGGCTACGCTGAGCCAGACCAGACCAAGCAGGGCTGGACTGGACTGCACCAGAGCTGACAGCGCCCAACCAGAGACAACTACTCTGGTGTAGATCAGACCAGACCAGGCTGGCCCAGTCAAGCTCCGACTAGACTAGTTAGTCAGACCAGAACAGGCTAGATTAGTTCTAACCAGACCGCGTCAGTCTAGATCCCGGAACCGTAGGAACTTAGCAGATGGTGCAGGTCTTTGACTTTGCATCTCCACCGGCTAGATACACACACAGAAACAGAGGAGAAGTATTAAGACAGGATGAGTCTCTTGATCTTCTATCACACCATCAACAGGAGCAATACACAACGGTTGGTTTCCTGTACCTTTCTTGGCTTCGTCCTCTTCCAGTTTCTTCTTCTCATCCTCAATGAGCTTCATCTTTGCGTTGTACACCTCCGCCTGCGCGTTCCATTGTGCCCGGTTGTGGTTCAGACCATCAAACATGGGTGTGATTTCTTTGTGGAACCTTGAGAACTCCTGGTAAATGAAAGACCCAACACGGGATGCACATATGTGGTCACATCGTGGAATGCACAGGGAGAATGAAAATGCTGCTGTTGGGTTGCTGACGGGCGTCTTCTTGTACAAATATCATCCTGAAATACATCCAGCTGACATTCCTCTTGAGGCCAGCTGGGTTCATCTGGATCTTTTCTACACCATTTTAGTAAATCCAATAATATTGTGAGAAATGATTTAATTGACTGGTGGTTTTATTACTGCGTGCTGTTTTCTTCTCCCAGCTGTGCTGTTTTAGTGAGTTTAATATACACCTTTTGACACTGTCTTTTAAATTCCAGCAGTTGCAGATGAATTGTTGCAACACAGAGCAAGACTCCCTTCTTGCAAAATCCATTTACATCTTTTTTTGATGCCTTGGGACCCATCTTGAAACAATCACCTCCCCCTCACTGTGTGTAATAATGATGCTCACTCCTCTGCTGTATATTACCTTGTACACAAATGAGCATACGAAGTCGATGAAACCACACTGCATCTTGGGTAACTGTTCGGCACAGTTTCTGTCCATCATTGGCTGAGGGAGACAGAGGGGAGAGTTTCAAAATAAAAGCCAAGCTGAGAAACCTTAAAAAAAAGAAGGAATATGTGAAAGGAAGAGAAGGAAGGGGGTATGAACCTTACAATTGGTTGTTGGTCCAAGACACTTCTCTCCAGGTCTCCTTGTTCCCAAAATTCAGCAGCTACCATCAGAGCCACCTGACGGGAAACAGACAAGAGGAACATTGAATGGTACAAGTGAATTCAAGACAGAAAAGAAATAAACACACTCCACTCTCAGACTTTTATCTCGTCCTACATTATTCTATTATTTTCAAAAGCAGATTTTTTGCACACTTCTGCCAATCAAAGCCTGCCCAAATGTGAATAACTTAATTTAATCTCATCAGATGTTTTAAATTCTCATAATGAGCATATGAATCACAGTGACCTATCGACCCCAAAGTGAACAAGATCATCCACAAAATCCAAATGAATTATTTTTTTATTTGAATAAAATTTGATCAACGTGTTCCTGAAAAGGCACAAGATTGTACCAGATGACAGGACATGTTAACCTTGACCTTCGCCCTCCCAAACCAGTTTATCCTTTAGTCCATGCAAATTATTTGGGCCAAATAACCCCAAAACATATGGCCTACTATATGCAGCCTTTAATATTTTCTCCCGGTGTAATAAATCAAAAATAATAAAACATAACAAAAATTTAAAAATCAACGAATGTGGACGTGCACAATAAAATAAATGCGCCGCGGGGAACATGCATTTGGTCGTAGCAGAACAAAGCGACGCGAGAAATGTCACTATATATTCTTTTCAATCGACCCGTGTGAAGGCTGTGAAGGCCGCCCACCTTGCTCTGCACCTCCCAGGGTTTGGTGATAGCTGACAAGTCGCAACCTGTCATCATCATGGCCCTGGAGGTGAGAGAGGGAGTGAGAGACACACAATGTGACACCTTGCTGCTGCTGCTGCTGATGATGATGATGATGATGCTGATGATGATGATGCCACGGCCTTCTGTTTCAGAGATCGTCTCACAAATACATTTCAAAGTGAGAAGGAACAGCTATGAAATCTTGGGGCGTGAATCGGGTACGTACATCACGATTTCCTTCCTGGTGGAGTTGTTGGAAATGTAGGCAATGGCCTCTTTTTCGTCTGGCATTGGCTCTGTGGCATTTACAATGTTTTGGAACATGGTTCTCTTTCTGCGTGATGGAAATAGCAGAAAATCAGTCCGACCAACTGAACCAACCAAACCAAACCACAGAAAAAACACAAGCAGACAGACGAACGCGGGTCGGGATGGAACTGCTAAACGTTAGCAGTATTTTACAGAACTTACTTGAAGTAAAGGGCCAGATCAGTGGCAATGATGCAGACATCGAACAAGTGCTGCACATTCTTGAACTGCTGCTTCTGGAGGTTGCAGAAGATGTTCAAGGTCTGCGAAAGATGACAGAAGAGCGGTCAAAGCGCGCCGGCCCCTTAGGTCGGGTATTCTTCTACATCCGTCGTCCGTCCGCGTCATTTGTCGTACCTCCTCAGCCATGAGCGTCTTGCTGTACTCCAAATGGTGCCTCTCCATGATGGAGGAGCCGTGAAGTTTAGCCAGAGGAGATGCGCTCCTGAGGAAAAAAAAAGAAAAAAGCTCCCCCGGTTACACACACGCGCCCGTCCTCCCCGAGGCACAGACACAGAAACAAGACGTGGTTTGGACTCGCTTTGTCTGGTAGAGGTTGTTGGTTCCTCTGTGGTCGATATCGTGGCAGAAAGCAGCTGCCACCATGGCAAAGGCATCTAGATCGGAGTAGTACTTCCTCAGCCTCCCTGTCTGCGCGCGGAGGAAGAGACAATTCCTGGGTTATTGTGCGCAGTGGTTATGGATTGTAACCACCTCCCATTTGTCCCATGATTTATTGAACACCAGGCAACAACAACAACAACGACGACTACTAGGATGCTCACTATGGGTCCGGGTTTTTTTATGTGGAGGCCTTACCTGCAGCAGGCAGAACATGGTGTGGCCCACATTGAAGCCGTGCCTCCAGTTGTGGTACGTGATGCTGCGGTAACCCTTCCTCACTGTGTACATCCACTTGGTCAGCGTCTAGGAAAGAGAATATTTGCGCTTTTGGGCTTTCTCCTCATTCACATCGATTTGTTTGCGGCTCTTTAATCGATAGCTGCGTTTTTTAGATTCGCATTTTAAATAAATACTATTTGAAATCCAAGTCTGCTGGAGGGAACTAAGGAAAATCAAAGCGAGCGTCTGACTACACGACTCACCTCTGCGGGAACTTTAAACTTCTCAACCACTCCGAGCTCAAAGAACATGCGAATGCCGCATTTGATGAGGTCCAACTCGGAGACGGGGAAGTCACTGAAGGAGAACAGGTACAGATTCTCTCCGTTGACGTTGTCAGCTGGTGGGCACGATGCTCTCTGGAAAAAAAACAACCCAATATGGATCATTCGATACTCAAAAAGACTAAATGGCCAAGAGCCTCTTTAGAATATTTTACATTTTCCAAAGACGTTTAATTTGATTGAAATTCAATTAGGATTTCCAAAATCCATTCCCAGGAATAATCATGATATGAAATGAAGTGCATGAATGTGCAAATCCATTGTCTTATTCACACATTCGAGGTGTGATAAGTGAGTAGCTGATCGTTTATCGATCATATCCGTCACAGCGTTTGCTTGCATTGGAGAAACGTACCAACAGTTTGTACATATCTTTCTGTTCACAATCTTCAGGCTCGGCGTCAAACTTCTCCTTGGTGTTCTGGTGAAAAACGAGAGAACAACGAGTTATGGTGGCTTTTACGTTGAAGCACGAACATTCATGGTTCGTCATTTTACAGCTTCAACTTGTAGATTTGCAACGGAAAGTAGGAGATATCATAGTTTGATGTTTCAAACGCCTCAGGCGAGAGCTCCAAGCATCATTGTCTCCATCAGAACTTTTATTAGCCCCCCCGAGATCCTTATATAACCTTCTAATATTTCCAATGCCTGCTTGAGTCTCCTCTTGATCGAATGCGGAGGGATCAAAGGAAAAGCTTCTGGAGATGAAAATGTGCAGGAAGGAACGCGGCTGAAACTGACCAGAATGTCCTGCAACTCGGTTTTGGTGCACATGGTCTGGTACAAGAGCATCTCCTCGGCGATGTCTTTCCGGTACTCCATGCGGTTCAGCCTGTCGTACGTGTCGCAAACCAGCACCGACCAGCCCAAGAACTGCGTCAGGGCCTGGAGACAACGGTGGGGGGGGACCAGTGAGCGACGAGAGGAGGGTGTGATGGCTACAGGACTGGAGAATGCGCGCCGCGTACCTCGGTGATCTGTTCGTCGTGCTCATCAAACGGCTTGCCGTCTTTCCTGTTGAAGAAGGTGGCGATGCCCACGATTTCTTCCTTCTTGTTGACGATGGGCAGCGATAAAACGTTCTTGATGACGAAACCTGTGTCATCCACAGCCTCTTTCTGAAAGACGTTAAGATAAAATCAAAGGAGAGTCTTAATGTAAGAAAGGAGGTCGTATCTGGCTGTGTGTGTATCTCAATGCTTTTATTATGTGGATGGACGGTAAAAGTCTCCTCACCTGGAAACTGAAGAAATCATCTGCAGCCACATTCATCATGTTGCAAATCTGCAGGAGGACGAAAGGCAGAGGGAATCTGTTAATATTCATTGCTTGGTTAATAATACGTAAAGCTGCGTTTTCAGATCAAACTTTGCATTGACTTTTGTCAAAATATTAATTATATGTTCCACAATGTTTTATTATCACACGTCTTCTTTACCTAACAGTAGTAGTAGTTTGTTATATAGCAGAAACAATTCAATGATTGCAAATTAAATCCCAGTATTTAATTTAAACTATGTTGATAACTGTAGTGCCATAAAGTGACACGTGCTGGAAGTCACTTCCTACTGATAAGTGTCTTTCGCCTGTTATTTGTCACTTGTTTCACTACATTCTTATGTTACTCCATTAGATAACGGCTGTGATACTTTTAATTCCTATTTTCATAAGTGAGAGACTTACGAAGCCATTCTCTGCAACATATGTCGGTAGGCCGCTAACTAGAGCCCAGTGATCTGCAGGCGGACCACTGAAAAAACGAGAAAAATACAGAATTATTCTCTGAGAAGCAAGTTCGATGATGCAAACTCTCAGTATGCATTCTGTTTTCTCTACAGAAAACTGACCCAATAACACTCGGAAACGCCCATTTGTATGAATGCTTCACATATTCTTCATGTATTTTAATCATTTTTATTTGCCCTTTATATTTTTGTTAATTTAAGTAAAAGATTCATAGTAAAACGGTGTTGGGATCTTTTTTGTTATTTGTTTGAACATATGCTCACGGGATGACTTTGATTTCTTCTTTGCTTTCCAGGAGGTAGTCGATGATCTTGTAAAAGATGATTTCCTGCACAAAAACCGAAGCCCTGTTAGAAATGATTCATTCATCTTCAACTTAGACGATAGAAAAGATCAAGCAAGTCAGACTTAAAGTACGACGCGCCACAAAAAACAAATTAACGAGGAGAAAAATGTTACCCTGCCATCTGGCGTTTTTGGTCCTTTATAAGGTTCCACATCTCCCAGTTTCACCGGCCATTCATCATAGAATTCCTGCAGGAAAAAGAAGTTATGTAGGCCTTTGTCCAAGAATGCTACCAATTCTACCCTGTGAGGGAAACGGAAACTGTTCTGGAGGACAAACCTTTTCTTTGGTCATGTCCAACAGGCCCACTGAGTATCGTTCGCAATTTAGGTAGATCCTCACGGTGTACAGCGCTTTGTGGAACTGTCTCTCAATGTCCGTCAACTCCTCAAACACTTTACTGGCCGACCAGAGAAGCACCTGTAAAGAGAAAGATTGGTATTTAAAAAACGTTCATCAATGCCTAATCATTGCAGGTCCGGCTTACCTGACTCCTCCTGGACTCCACGTTGAACATGTAGGATGTGTAATGCTGCAGGGTGATGACTTGGGCAAAGTTCATGTACTTGTGGAAGAGCTAATGGCCAAAGGAGATTACAGGTTTCAGCAATAGACAATAGCAGATTAAAGACTGTTTTTATTTTTTTTTTGGTTCACACGTAGAGATGTATTTGAAATTAAAAGTGAGCCGTGACTGCACAATGACATGACGGGTTTATACAGTTTGTTTTCTGTGCGATAAAACTGACTCCTAGCGAGCCAAACTTCACAAGGTCTGTCAAGTTGGCTAAAGTTTACACCTCTGTGACGCAAGATGTTAAAGAAAAGTATACGAATGGACCCAAAGGACACACGGGTCGCACACATCGTAATGATGCTTCTTAGCGGTTGAAGCTCTTTGCATAATTTCCCTCTTCAGATCTCCTTAACTCTCGTTTTCAGTTCGTCTGATTACCGTTATAACCTCGAGTCTGTGAAAACATCATTTCCACCCGTCGCAGTTCATTCTTTGCCTCGGTGTGAGTTTACCGCTTCCAGGTAATCACAAGAACGTTCTTCTTTATGTAGCAAACAGTTAGGTCATTATACCCTTTATTCAAGATGAATGCTCAAAGGCAAGCAAATCAAGTCGGTCAGGTCTGATTGGCTCCCGCTGATATAATTGGAAGGTTTTACGCCTTTATGGTAAGACGTAATTACAGCAATCTTTATTTGCACATTTCAAAAGGCACGCGCAAGCTTTTTTTTTTTTAGCAGACAGTCAAATTCAAAGTACATTTTTTGATCGAAATGAAACGCATGTTTCCTTACCTTCTCATCCTCTGCAGTGAACGAGTCAGCTCCTATTTTGTTTAGTGCCATGACAACTCCAAGGCACTCTTTATCAGCCATCAGAGGGAAAGTGAGCATGCATTTAGTTTTGTATCCAGTCTGTTTGTCAACAAAGTCGGAGAACTTTGGATTCTGCGTTGGAGGAAAAATGAAAGACTTTGCGTCAGGGTCGAATCCAGGTGGATGTGAGACACACATATGTGCCTGTTTGTTATCACACTATTTGTTGCATTCTATGTGGTTAAATGGTTTCATTCACTCATTGATGTTGGACACACTGCCGAAATCCTTAAGGCTGCTTTCAAATTTGTCCGTGGGCAACATGGATAAATACATCTTGTCTCAATATTCTTCGGCTAACTATTCTGTCCAGTTGAAGCATAATAGCGTTGGCATGGACACGCGCACATGACAGTGATCGTACAACAGCCTTTTCAATATTTTCTTGGTTTCTGTGAATCTTGAAGCTAATGGAAAATATTTACCTCAATATATTTCATCACTAATTTTGACATTTCGATATCAGTATTTGAAGCTTTTGATGGTCAAAGCAGGAATAATCATTGTATGCTACAAAGAGACATAGGTTGACCAAAAGCGAGGTCCATTAATCCACTAATCCATCCTAACAAGTCGGCTGGTAATCTAACTACACACAAATACTCCATGGACCTTCACGCCATCCGCTAGCAAATCAGATCAACAATATAACGTTTTTCTTTTTTAAAAGACCCACCGATATATAATAATAATTGACAGCTTGGGATCCACGCGCACACAACTGTCCCACAAAGCACGGCCAGCCCTACTTCTCTCACCTTGGAGACGTCGGGTATGTTTAGGGCCTTTTTGGAATTGGCGGTAAAACCGACGATACCCATGTCGAGCGGGAACACAATCTCGCTCTGCGGGTCCACCAGGTTTATCTCGAATTTGGATGTTGGAGTCACGTCGAAGAGGCAAGAGGAGAGCTCGGGTATTCCGTTCCTCGCCCGGTTTATGTAAAAACCGACCCTGTCGGCCTGCAGGATCAGGGCGACTCTCTGCATCACTTTGTGCAGGGACTCCTCCATCCTCCCCTGCTTCTGCAGCTCCTGCACCAGCTCGAAGATGACGGCAGCCTCCTGCACGGAGTTAACGTCCTTGAAGGAAGCGGTGTCTTTGACGTCGAGGGGCGCCGAGAAGGCAGCGGCCAGCCCTTCGGCGCGCAGCTTCTTGTCAAAGTACTCTTTGGCGAACTGCGGGTTGTTCTCCAGGTACTTCTCCACGCTGTCCTTGTCCGCCATCTTGAACTAGAGTGGTGCTGTGTGTGTATATTCCCGTTCTCTCTTCCTTTTAAAAAAGCATCGCCGCCCGGCGAGTGAGTCAACAAACGGAGGTGGGAAGCTCGCGCTGTGGCCCTACAGGGTTGGGCGGATCAGTGGCATTCTCCTCCACGGTCCCCGAGGGAGTCAGTGACACATCCCGCGTCCACCGAAAGAACAGAACGGGGCAGAGCGCGGCTTAGAGGCTGAAAGGATCAAAGGGGCCGCTAATTAATGTGACGTCACGCCATTAAAAGCCATGCTCTAAGCGCCCTTAACCCGCAAATCCCGACGCTGATCATTTCGTATCGGTGCGGCGACACGGGAGGGAGCGGGACGGCCCTCCAGGACAGGTTGCCTGCACCAAGAGAGGGTGTGAAAAGATGCTCGGGGGGGGGGGCAAGGACGCAGTGTCTTTGGTACTCAAATCCCCATAAAAAAATAATGAGGTCAGAAGAACAGCGAAGAAACGTGGAGAGAGACTCCAGTCCTGAACTCCCACCGGTGGCCTTCTACTCCAATCAATCAAAAATCCCATCCCAAGCTATTTAGTGCAGGCAGGGACCATTTTAACCGGTTTTCTTCCCTCAGATAACCTAATCCTGCTCGTGTGCCAAACTTTCATTGGGTAATACAGCTGTTCTGCCCTTGTGGTTGGTGCCTAAATGTTGTCTGTGGTGATCAGAGCCATAAAGGTACCCGGTGAGCGCGTGAGCAGCCTAGCTGTGCGCTGTAATTAGATCTCCATCATCACGGAGGTATTCGTCCTAGAACTGGAAATTGGCCAATTAGTGAGTCTTGCATGTCTGGGAACAAAGCCCTAAACAAAGATGGCTGGCTATTATTAACTGAGTGTCTGGTTGGCTGCTGGCAGCCCAGCGAGACGAGGAGTTCCCCCACTAGTTTTTGTCTCGGGGATTAGTCGAGCTACTACAATATGCGTCTGCGTGGATGGGAGGCATAGGGCGAAATCAAATCAGAGCAGCTCAATTCACAGGGGGAGTAGTTAGCTTGATGTTTAGGAGAGACAGATGCATGGCGAAAATGTCGACGAATGAGATGATTAATGACGTATTTCTGATGGACAGTCCCGATGTTTTGCTTTATTACTTGCTGGTACTATTCCTGTCCGTTGATTCTGTCCGTTCACTCAGCGAGCGTTAACAGAAGCCACGTTCCTGCGTTCCTTGCAATGGTTTCGGAGGAGTGCTTTTGGAGGGAGGCCCTGAGGGAACCAGTTGTCAAATTTCTTGTGAGAACCCGTGCTGCTGACAAGAGTCATTTGAAAAGAATTTGCTGCTCTGGGCTGGGTAAGGCAGAATAAACTCTATAAACTTTATTCTCGCTTACTTTTGCTAGTTTCAGTAGAATATTTACACATCAAATCAAACATCTAATCAAGGAAGCGACTCCTGCTATAATCATGACATTATCACTGCACTGACCAATAATTTAAAACGCATGCAACGAGCCTGTTTCTTGTCTTCCTGTTTCTCAGCCAATCTTCATGATTATGAAATGTAGCCTCTGGCCAAATTCCAGCTGCTATTATTTCTGCTCAAAATGAGTGATTGCCCTGTTTTCCACTGGCTGGACCTTTGGTTATGCAAGCTGCAGATGTTTTTGCCTGTGCTCTGCTCCTTTTATTCAATCAAGCGCTCAGAGGAGTGGCAACATGAGCTCAGTGCGAAAATAACAGCAGCAAAAACAACTGGAACAAATACAGCTTTCCATGGTGAACAAAAAGGTTTTTTGTACACATTATATTACATCATCAGGGGGTCCATTAGCTTGCTTAGCTCTGGTGGACTCATCTCTCGCGTAGGAACATGCACACAAAAACATTTTGGAGCTAAGTCACATCAGGTCGACGTCATTGGTGGCGTTTGAAACCCGAGACTTCGGCGTGACGTGATTATCTCTCTTTGGCGTTGGTTGAAGTGCACCTCGTCCGTCATTTATACAAACACAGTCCCGAAAGGATCAGTTGATAGCAAATCAAGTCGACGGGTGATGCAATCAAATGGATGCTGCCGGGAAGCAGGTAACACCCACTGAAACATTTCAGTGCTGAAAATCTATTTTTTCCACGTGCACAAATGGGCTCATTGTGTCAATGCCTGCGCGTGTGTGTGTGTGTGTGTGTGTGTGTGTACGCACTAAAGTGTTTGTTTGTATCTACAAATGCGTATTGTTCCAGATGTTCCTCTTGGCTTTGCTCGCAGCTGCTTTCACAAGACCAAGAAAGCATTGATTCTGACGGGACAACACATTTTTAAGGAACGCAGAGGGGTCGGCGGGGCCAATGTTCAGAGCGCACAAATCAATAGCGCCGGGGGCCGGCGGTTGTGTAAATGTTCGTCCAATGGAAGGCCCGCTCCCTGTGGGGGGAGCAGGGGAGGTCCCGATCCCCACAAGACGTTGTGCAACACTCGGCGGGCCGTATATAAGGCAACGGCTACGACAAGCACAGGGTATTTGTGAGCTCTCCACTTCAAACAGGTATGCACTGATAACGGACTTGTTCTTTTTTATCATTTCGAAAAAAGGATTGTGAAGCCTCCTTTTTTTTTTTTGCTCCTCTTCTTGTTATTCCTTTGAAGCAATCGTGATTCCTTTATTCAAAGTGTCCTGATTTAAGAGGGACAAAGGCAACTTTTTAGCAGCGACGTGGATGACCGGTGTCCCTTTTCTCCCCCCCCCCTCGAGGTAGAATGCTGCTGTACGTTGTGGCCCTCTGTCTCCTGGCCTCGTCCTGGGCGCAGGACTGCCAGGTGTCCAACATCCAGGTCATGCAGAACTTTGACAAAACAAGGGTGAGGACATTTTTTTGAATTTTGAATTTTTATTTTTTTATTAGTGACAGCTGGGAATGTAACTTCTGTTTAAAGGATTTTCATTAATGCTAATGGCTCTCTTGTAGTATGCAGGGACATGGTACGCCGTAGGAAAGAAGGACCCAGAAGGTTTGTTCTTACTTGACAACATCGTGGCCAACTTCGTAATCTCTGAGGACGGACAGATGACGGCCACCGCCGAGGGCAGGGTTATCATTCTCAAGTGAGTAGTGTGAAGGGTCACCTCTCCCCCACTTGAAGCCTTGAATTTGCATCCGCATGTTCAGTTCATCTAATCCATTTTGTCTCATCTTACGTAATGTCCTTTGCTCTTCTTTTTTTTTAACTCCCAAGCCAATGGGAAATGTGTGCCAGCATGTTTGCCACCTTTATGGACACTCCCGACCCCGCCAAGTTCAAGATGAGGTACTGGGGAGCTGCATCTTACCTGCAGACTGGAAGTAAGTGGAGGAGCATTTTTGCCTGAACAGGTCCAGCCTCGGTTTTCTGACATGGATTTTCCTGGAATCGACAACAATAAATTCAAGGCCGCTGAGGCGTCGTTGATTGGGAGTCGCTGACATTACAGGGACTGTTGACCTCCGCGACGAATGTTGATTTAATTGAATCATCAACCGCAGCACTTGGTCCTCTGTGACCTGACCCAGGAGAGTGAATCCAACCGAACACTTATGAGGAAGTGTCACTCTCTAAAATATCCCCACAATCAATAACACTTTTTTGTTTTTAAGTCAAATGAAATCTATTGCAGTATTCCCAGTAATCTAATATTGATATCATTGCATCAGCTGTTTACCTGATTGTGGGAACTCCCATTCCTCTTCTATGATTGATTGACAGGTGCTAAAGTCCCTTTTTGGGACTTTCAAGCATACAGCATGAAGTGAGGTAGATCAATTTGACGCAAAACTAGACAAATTCACCAAAAATATAAACTCTCCACTCGCAGACGATGACCATTGGGTGATCGACACCGACTACGACAACTACGCCATCCACTACTCCTGCAGGCAGATAGACTCCGACGGCACTTGCCTGGACAGCTACTCCTTCATCTTCTCCCGCCACCCGACCGGCCTGAGGGCGGAGGACCAGGCCAGCGTGGTGCAGAAGAAGACGGAGCTCTGCCTGCTGGGCAAATACAGACGCGTTCAACACACCGGTGAGATCAGCTGAAGCCTCGTTTGTTTTTCTTTAAAAAAATAAGGAATTTATCGGTAATGGTGCACTCCCATTAAAAGCACCCCCCGTTATGTTACCCGTTACCCACTTGGCTTGTTTGAGACCCTCACGTTTGTGTTTTCATCATCACGTGGTGTTTTGCAGTGAGAGAAATGTTGTGTGTCCTTCCCCCCCCGCAGGCTTCTGCGAGGCCAGCCAATCCGTCACTCCGAGAGTGGACTCGTGAGGCAGCCGACCGCGGGACCGTGAACCACCGTGGGGTGGGGTGGGGTGGGGTGGGGGGGGAGCTCCCCCTCCTCTGCCGTCTTTGTAGAAAGTAGCCCCCCAACTTTTCTCTTCAAACATATAAAAAACAAAACAAAAAAAAACCCCATCAAGTGTAACGTTAACATGCTGTACATAGAAACAAAAAGACGACCGTCATTGGTTTGTTGCCACCATCCAAAAAGGTCCCCGATTGGTGGAGGAGATTCTGGGCCTGTTAAGATTTTAGTGTCATTCTCAACGTGGTTCATGCGTTTGCGAAGGAATTTCCGGTATGCGGGAAACAGTGTTGCTCATGGAAACAAGAGCAACTTTTGGAGCTAGTGGAGCAGGCCAATGGTACAAATAATAAGTATATATATATATATATATATAGCAAGTGAAGCTGGAACTCTCAGCAGCTCTGGACTATTAACACGATTATCACAAAACCACGTACACATGTTACTGACTTTGTTTTTACACTGAAGGTAATAAACCGTCGTACATATTTAGCTGTGTGCTATACAGGCATAGTCGTTTGGTTGTTACTCGATTATTTGATGTATACTTCTTGATCTAGTTTTGAAATAAAACATCTATAACGCGTTGGCTCATAACACTTTTTATTGCCTCGAAATACTCATCTGTATTGTAGGATTGGAAATGATAATCCATGTGGTTTGCCTTCGGATTCAGTCGATCAAAATGAGTCCAAAAAAACAGTACACGCAGAATTTAGTGTTATCGACTTTTAACGTTGCGGAAAAAAACATTAGCAAGGCAAATATAGGGAATGGGGTGTAAGTCAACAACTAACATCAAGGTTTTGGTGCGCCATAAACATGATTACATAACCTTTAATGTCGGGCCGCCACATGGAAATGTGCGTTGGACTTTGTGTTTTTGCCTATTTAGCAAATACTAGCATTTCAACCAAGACAAAGAACACTGTGAACATTAACAACATAAAGGGCCGTTAGCTCAAAGTGCCACTGGGCTCGTCATCCTCGGAGTGGCTGCAGGACATTTATTCCTTTGGTCCAACGGTTTTCTACATAGCACCTGGTCACTTTGCAGGTTAATTAATTATTCCATCCGACGCCTAATCCCTCCGTTGCCAAAGCGCAACAAGTGACCTCATCTTTATTTTAGAATCACGCAAAAGTTTGAAACATCCCTGGTCCTTAAATACACTCCGATGTGACAAAGTAAGGAAAGGATCGTGTTGGAAGGGCATTTATATCTTTATTGCACACTTGTACAGTACATGGCAAAACAACTTAAGAGCCCATGATTAAAAAACAAACAGCAAAACAGAATAAATGTATCCAAAATAATGTGATAAAAGTAAAACAGTTATCTAAAAGATGACACTATAGCGGTGTCTGTCCGCCTTAAGTCTATTGAGCTGCATCGCCAACACGGCAGAAATAAAGGCAACTTAACCCCCTTTCCAGCGCCAGGAGGACCTTTTCTAATCCCTCGCCTTAAATAGTTTAGTACAAGGAATTAGCTCATGCAATCTTATTCCAGCCCCACGGGACTGAAGGCTGGAAGAGCGGAGGTGGAAGCGAGCTCCACCGGAGGGAAGAACACAAGGACAACCGGGCACCATGTGCAGAGGGTTTATAATCGGGCCGCAGACAAACCAAACGGTGGGTTGGGTCACATGGTCCAACACCACGCGGCCTTTAGATTGGAAGTAAAAACCTCGACGGGCAACGTTTGTCTACGATGGCGACGGACATGTGAACACAGTGGAGAACACAAAAGGAGTGAACGCGTATCCTCCTGATATAAAAAAGGTCCTTCCCCTCAATACTGTTAAAGAAAAAAGGAAATATGCCTTCAATGTTACATAAACTGAAAGTGGAGGTTTACGGCTAGTAACTTTGTAAACTTTGATGCAACACAACAAGTAACGCCCATGATGTTCTAAAAAAAAAAAAGGCAGTCATAAATACAAAATAACAATAATAAAAGGGCAGTGATATTCAATCAGCAATGCTTACATTACCTGGAGGAAAACTAAAGCTATCATTATGTTGCTGGCATGAAAAGAAAAAAATCCCAAGAATGAATAAATAAATCCAAATACACACAAAATAAAATTCACCAAGAGCTTTTCAATAAAATAAGAAAAAAAAGGAGCAGGGAGAACGCAGCAACAAGCACGAGGAATACTTTGGCCTCATGGTTTTCTGCTGGCAAATTAAAACTGCACTAGATTTTATTCCTCCATATTCATCCAGCGTGAAACTGACTATCCCTTGAATCCCATTTAGATATAAAAAAATAATTTACCATCAACTCAGTTATTTAAGCTGTTTAGATAATAAACCCACTCAAAGGAACCATCGGAACCTCTTGGAGTGCAAAGCTCACTACCTGCATTAAAGTGATACAATTAATCTGGTTTATGGGAACTGCGTGCGTGCGCGCACACACACACACACACACACACACACACACACACACACACACACACACACCTGTGTGTGGAACGAATCTACAATGCCCATTATTGACTATAGTATCAGAAATGTGTATCCAGTGATCAACTGTTCATGTTACACGAAGCTGCAGCCAAATCAGCTTTAGGAACGGAAGAAGAATACAAGCAGCCTCCAAATAAGTTTAGATTACATATACACTAATATATATATATATATCTTACTCAGAGTAGTTGCTCACAGGAGTATTGTGTTTGTAGAGTATGCTTTTGATGAAACAGGCGTTTAGAAAACACAGCAGGGGTTAAATTACCTGAATTGATATTATTAGAATTATGAACCTCTTTGGCTAAAAGAAAGCACTGTCTGCTTCATAATGTGATCCATTCCTTTCTCTTTAGAGGCCAAGATATGTGGAAAGAATTAATAACGATTTGTGTTGTGTATATTGTTGCTTCTCTATTCCCCACTCCTGTGCCCACGCACGCACGCACGCACGCACGCACGCACGCACGCGCACACACTTATTCTAGCTCAAGCAAAGCAGTAGTCAATGTGTGCCAGGAGCTCCCTGTGGCGGCTGGTGGGATACGTCGCCCGACACTTTGGGCACTCCAGGAAACTCTCATCCAGGAGGTTGGCGGCTTTGGAGGGAGACGCGGGACCGGGGGGGTTGTCGATGGTGAGACGGCCAAACTCAAAGTTGTTGTAGGAGCTGGGCTCCGAGAAACGGGCGTTTGGCTGTTTCTGTGACACAAAACATTTACACATTTCACAAAGAAAGTAGTTCACTGTCGCGGGGGAAGAATAACACTTTGAGCTATTCGTGCTGTATTCATGAAATATGTATATCATGGAAAATGTGGCTCAGAGTTCCAGTAGAAAACTCACAGCAGACTCCAGTTTAGCAATCTGATCTCTGGCCTTGCGGAGCTCCTTCAGCACCTTATGTAACTGATGCTGCACGCCCTGACGATCAATCTTTTCATTCTCAAAGTCCTTGGTGGAGAGTTGGATCTGAGGAGAGGTTAGAAGTATATATTAAGAGGAGCGAGGCAAGAACTCAATGTACTCGGGTGAGTTGGATCAGTATAAATGGTTATCGGTGAAAGTAGAAACAAGACCGCACGGACGGGTTTCGTCCTCATAATTGTGCGATCTCTAATGCTGACATGGTTTTCTTGACACATCGACGGTGTTACCTGCTGCTCCAGGGCGGCGAGTCTCCTTTTTTCTTCATTTTGGCTCAGGAGTGAATTCTGCAGCATATTCACCTGTGGAAAAAAGACACGTCATGCATTGAAATATTGTTCTAGTCAAAACACACCCAGGACGACACTTCATTTAAAGCGCCGCAGGTGGAATTAAAGTGTCACCTGCAGTAGGAGTTCAGCGGATCTCTTCCTCTCCTCGTCCAGCCGGACGTCCATGTTCTCCAGTTCCAGTCGCATCCTGTCGGACCGCTCAGACGCGGCCTTCCTCTCCTCACACGCGGATTGTCTGGGTGCAACGTTAAACATCATTGGCGGCAAATTCATAAAAAGCTTATTAAATATGAATCACGTGCATTTGCACATTTTGTGGATCGTGTGAAAGATAAAAGACAGCCAGATGGAGAGACGAACATTTGCAGTTGGCCTTTCTCTCTGCGGCAACGAGGGCCGACTGGCTTTACCTGTTGCCGTGTCGCTCTGCCTGCAGCTGCACCTTCAGGTCTTCCGTCTCTTTGCTCTTCTCTTCGTACTTCATCAGAAATGAAGACAGATCGCTGCACTTGCTCTCGTACCTCCTCTGCAGTGCGGATATCTCCTCCTGGAGCCTGGTAACCGTCTCCCTCTGAGACTGCAGCTCGGCTTGAACCTTCGACGTCTGCAGAGCCGCGAAGAAAAAAAAAACGAGCACATTTCAGGACGTCCATTCGTCGCTCCGGGAGAGTTTGAATGAATAAGTTCTGAGAATGCTTAAATGCTAGCGGTGCAGAAATTCAAGTGGGTTATTGCAGTTGCATGAAGATTTGGCCTGCAGGGTTTATCAGGAATGTGAGCCACAGTACAATGATAATGATCTATAATGAATTATGATGATGACGACCTCATAGATGTCGACATTAGACAGAAGATATACATGTAAACAGTAATAAAATTAAAAACCCCGTAGGCATTTACCTGTTCCCTCTGCACGCCGAGCTCCTGTTGTCTCCTGGCAACCTGCTCTTTTCTCTTCTCCAAGTCCTTCTGAACCCCCAGAAGCAACTGCTCGTAGTGGTTCTTCAGCTCAACCTCTTTTTCGGCATTTCCCGAGTCAGCAGGCGCTGAGATAACAGGCGCTGATGTAAAATAAAAGAACCGTCTTAAACACGCGTTGCAATTTAAACGTGAACTTTTCAGCGCTAGGCATCGTCCCTTTCCCTTTCATGTCGCATGCTGAACATGGGCTCGGTTTGAAGCAGCCAATTGAATCCCTCCCCCCTTTCTCACCGTCTGAAGGGGCCTCTCGTGTGGTTTGCAGCTGCTGCTTGGCCTCCGCCAGCTGCCGCTCCAGCTCCTGCGTGCGGGCCGACACGGACTGGACGTAGGCCTCTCGCTGCCGGTCGTACGTCAGCCACTGCTGGTTCTTCTCCAGCGCCTGGCGGGGAAGAGAGGCGCAGCTCACACACTGGCGCACACTGGCATCGGGGATATTAGCCCGCGTTCAACTCCGGGTTGCTCAGAGTTGAACGGCGAGTTCGTGCCCCAACGGCAAAACAGAAAATACCCGCCGTGTCCTCTGCTGGTAGCGTCCATTGATATTGACTTGCAGCGCGTCCCTGGACGTTGAATGATAAACCTCGGATGATAATTTCATTCCCGTGGCTCCCGACGGGGAGTTACGGGATGAAATACTTCAGGAACGTATGACGGATGGGCCAGATATTTCTGTTCCAAAAGCTTCGGCACGGAAGCATTTTTCACCAGGGGGGGGGGGGGGGGGGGGGGGGAGACTAAGCAGTCGCATTACAAACACACGTCGTTAATCATCCACTCCACTCACGTCTCTCAGTTGATCTTGTACCAAAGCCAAGTCTGCAGGAGGTAGCTGTCCATTCTGTAGAGGGAAAAGGACATTTTCTTTAAAAGAAAGAAATAAAACCAACTGTGATGTCCACAATACACACTTTACACGGCTCTCTACCAGCGTGCATTTTCAGTGTTGCTGTCGGGTTCATTTCATGTTTAGCAGTGGGTGGAATTAACAGGCCATTTGGTGTTTTTGCTATTCCACTATGAAAAGGACTTAATTAGAGGGGACTTCTTAAGAAATACAACCAGTAAACAGCAGACACCGAACAACTATGCTGAGGTTGGTACGAATGAAAGATGCAAAATCACTTACAGGCCTGGAAATAAATGAATAGAACTATTTTCCACAAATGTTCAAGATGGCATCACGTGAAAGGGAGAACGTTTTGGGGACTATTCCCGGCCTGGACTGATGTAGACCACCCTGATAAGAAAGACTGATACTAACAACAAAAGCGTTCTCATCCCTTTGTAAAAAGAATCTTTCCAACCTGGAGTCTAAAAGCAGCGACTTGAAAACCAAAGCGTTATTGAGTTCTGCAAACTATCAGAGAACATTTAGATTCAACATTCAAAAGGTTTCCAGCAACCACAAGAAAAACCTTCTGCATCTTTCTAGTAAAATCTATTTTCTTTCTTCAACCCGTCCTATTGCTTTGGCTGCAGACCAAATAGAGCACAGGGTTCGATAGAAGAAAGGTGTTGTTATGTTCCGGTATTGTTGATAGCGGTGATGTTCAAAAATAGAACATTGATATCCTGTCAATAATACCATTTTCAATATGCAGAGCATTAACTAATATATATTCAAAAATAGTGAAGAATGTTGCTTTTAACGCGGGTGATCGCGCCCCAGAGGTAGACTCAAATGCAGGTTACAGCGCATTATACCCCCCCCCCGTCAACGATCTTATTACCACAGCACAGCCCCCCCCCCCCCCCCCCCCCTGGCCAACGCCAGGGCCTTTGCCGCTCTTTGAAACTTTTAAAATTGCGCCGTCGCCGTGGTGATGGGAGCCGTGGGTAGGAAATAGAAATTCTCTTAGATACAGTATATATATATATATATATACACACACAGTAAGAGGTAATTGTAAGTAATAATACTCAAATGATATCATTCGTTGAGTTAAATTCCACTAAAACAAGCACGGTGTAAACAAACGTCGAAGCTCCCGTTCGACTGACTTACAAACACAGAGGTTTGTTATCTCGGAGCCTTTAGCCTTTAGTTCCCCGAGTCTCTTGCGATTTTGCCTCCTTGGCCTCGAGGAGAATCTGTTACAGGAGCGCAGTGAGCGCCTGCTGTGCTCAAAGGGCTGACTGGGAACCAGTGCTGCGCTTTCTCGACATGCGAGGAGAACCAGCCACGTTATAAAAACAATGCTGCAGAGTGTGTCACTCGAGCAGAGCTAGTGTGTGTGTGTGTGTGTTCCATTCATTATGCTTTGGGTCACGCGTTCAGCTCTCATGGAGACCGATTCCCCAGAGTGGAGGCAATGTCAGCGGCTGAGGATAACGGAGGTCACACAGCGCCACCCAGTGGACAAAGAAATGGCTGCGTTTCCAAACAAGTGTCCTTTCATGCAGTGGTCACCGAAAAGAAATACAAGATTGTCCAATAACCTGATGCTATACAACATTACATATCACAAGTGCATCTGATTAACACAGGAGCCTTTGTTACTCAAAGCGCTGACCAGAGACATATACACTGTCACATCAAGTCATTCATGTACCTGTTCTTTTAAAAAGCACCATCCTGTTACACTCTAGAGTCACTGGTGTCAACTAAAATGCAACTGTCCATTTCTTTGGATAATTGTACTAATACAAGTCTACTTGTATTCGCGGCGATTCAGATACTCGGTCATCTGGACGAGGGGGCCGATCAAGCTTTCCTATCTAATGAGAAGGTGCGGGGGAATGTGATCGGTCAACCCACCGCCGCCTGCGCTTCCAGGGACTGGCACCGGGCAGAGACGGTGGCCAGCTGGTTTTTCAGGTTGCCCGTCTCCTGCGACAAATTCTGGAACAAGGCGTCTCTCTGCTCAGCCTCCTTCTTCCTCTGCTCCAGCTGGGCCTGCAGCGATGCCACCACCTGAAACACACACCAAGGAGACCGGTGCGGGCATCAAATGGCAGCTGGCCCACTCGGCCGCTTTGTTGATACAAAAAGGTAATGACAAAGAGGCGAGTGTGATTGAGTCAAAATTAAAAAAACAAACATTGACTAGCATGCTATTTCCAAGTGGTGCCAGGACTGAGTATCAATTAAAGAGCAAAAGAAAAAGATGCATCCAACAATCGAAAAAAGGATTTTAGTTGGAAAAGCGTCAAATAAACAGCAAGACGTCTTATAAAAACAGATTTTTTTTCATAAATACCAAGTAAACAGCACACTGTGTTTTTAAGCAAATTTTTCCAGGCTGTCTAAACGTCCTTTAGCTGGGCTGCTGGCATAATGGGATAGAAGCTATTTCCGACCCCCCCCCCAACTGTTTTTATGGCAGCTCAGTGGGGCTCCAGTACATTTCTCCACCCCCACTCCCTGCCCCCCCTCACACTTTCTGACAGTTGTCTTCTGTCAGTATCACACCAACACAGCGCAGAAAGCGATAACAACCCTTCTTCACGTGTCGGGGAATGCGCTCAGGAGAACACACCAGTCCACATGAGCATCGTGTCCGAGCGGACGGAGAATGTTTCGAATATTTTACACGGGTCTGCTGTAAATGTGATTTGTGAGCGGTGCAGCTTTTTTTGGCAGCGATGTGTCACACGAAGATACCTCTCCTCCTCTGGCTGACAGCTGCTGTCGCATCGTTCCTAATTCCTGCTCCTTAACCAACAACTGCTGATTGTTTCTCTCTCGCAGCGTCTCCAGGGACAGGATCCTCTGGAATAAAATGTAAAAAAAGAAATGAAAAGGAAATCAGGCAAACGACGCAGCAACACACTGGGGATTCTGTGGTGACCTGAAGTATATTTACCTCCAGCAGCTTGATTTTGTCGGCGTCGGGCGGTTTGATTTGTCTTTTGGTCAGCTCATCCACCTTCCTCCTGAGGTGAGCGTTGTCCTTTCGGACCTTCTCCAGCTCCGCCTCGGCCTTGGAGGGGGAGCTGCTGGATTTGAACCCCAACCTGGTGACGATGGTCTCTTTGGCACTTTTAGAGGTCATGGCTGCTCGGTTTGACCTGGACTCCTAAAGAGGGGGAAACGAGCAGGTCCATTCGACTCCAATATTACGAGATTCAGTTATGTTGACGGGATTACATTGGAAAATAATTAAATCAAACTAATGGAAAGTTCTAAATACTAAACCCTTATGAGACATTCAAAAATACACTATGAAGTGGGGGCCTACAGAGGAGCTATTATTATTTTCCTTTCAAATATTAACATTAATATGAAAAATTGAAATATGCTTAACAGTTAAATAATGTCGATTAATGATGTGCATTAGCAACAGTTTCGATCTTTGCAGTAAAGTTATATTAATTTACGCCTTTAATAGTAGATTTACTCGTGCATTTTAAGCGTCATAAATCCATACCGTTTCATTCAAAAATAATTCAAAGTAAACATAAATCAGGCAGGTGTCGCAGTAATAACACTGACAGTTCTTGTACGTTACAGAAACCTTTTAAAGCACTTTTCTCTGACTGAAAGATGTTAAACAAACTGACGTTAATGCGTTTTAATTGCACGCTTATAAATCAAGGTAAACATCGATGAATAAATACAATATAAACTTACAAATACAGCGAAATGCGGGTAACTCGTGAAACCAGGCTTTTGGTAACGACAAGACCGTTTTCTAACCAAACGCTTTCGTTTCCTGAAGTTTGAATTGTAGCGCGTTGACGTCATATCCGTGATGCGCAGTGGGGTTCGTTTGTTTGTGTGACCCGGAGTGCCTCGACGGAAATTGCGACGGGCGGTGCAGTATGGAAAACGCGATGATTTGTCAAGTTATGTGCCGATGTAATTTCAACAATGTTGGTGTTACACTCGATGTTCCATACAATTAGTGAGAAAGTAGGCTTTTCACCGTTTATAACGACTGTTTAATCGGTTTCACCCACACTTGACGGCTTGTTTCGCTGAATGAAGCGAGCGCACCATACTCGAGGCTTTACAACTCAAACTTGTTTGACGTCTGACAGGATCTCGGCTATAGCAGGCTGGTGACGTCACACATTATAATTCATCGGCGTTTCACATTCAGGAAATAGCCTCGATGAAAGTGTATGACTCGCTTGGTATTTGGTTATATAACACTGCCAATTACACCTATTCTTTAACACATCTTAAATGGGGTTTACTTCATGGTGTTCTCGGCATTTGCAGTGCATATTTTAAATGATGAATGTATAAAATACTTCTCAAACAAAGACAAATCTTTACAAATCTGACGATTCTAAAAAAGAATATATGTTGAGTACATGCTAGAGTTGGCTGTTGAAAACACCCTCGGATCCTCACATTCATTCGAGGGAAAATGTGCCTGCCTTTCAATATTATGGATTATTGTAGACCTTTCTTCGAGTTTATTCTTCGCACCAATCCATTGCACTAAAGAAACCCAATGTTGAATCACTTTAAAGTTCTTTGAACCTAAAAGCCTTCAGCAGAAGAATAGACTATTTTCTATGTGTAAAACTGGCAGAAATGCAGACTTTTATTTTATATGCCTATAGCAATAGACAGTGCAAATACGTGGCCTTGGTGTAAACAGTGTTTCTCTAATTGTGTACTGGAGTATTATCCAAAGTATTTTTGTATTGAAAACCATTTATTTCAAAAGTTAAGCTGGCTTCAAGTTGCTGAAATACGTTATTCACCATTTTGTATGTAACATCAAGGTCAAACAATGCATAGAATATGCCTGTTAATAAAAGTATCAAAGGGTTGTTATAATGTTTTTAATTCAATGGCAGAATCTATAAGCTACAGAGTGTGTTGTTAAGCTACTTTGTACTTTAACCTCTGATATTATACACACCACCACCTCCAACACCTCCTATTTTCATCTGATTTCATTTTATCAGTAGAATCACACAAATCCATTCCAGTTATTCCTGGTTGGCCGGTGTTTACTGGTTTGTCCGGCCTGTAGCTCCCAGCTCAGGAACAATATGATCAGTATGAAACCATGTTCATGGCTTAGCCAGTAATGGTCTGCCGGGTCAAAGGGCATCCCGGGATTAATTTGGTTCTCGTAGCATCAAAGCTATAGAGGTATCCATAACTCCGCTCCCTGGAGGGAAGCAGACAGATGGAGACATGCTCCTCGATATGGAGCGCCGAAGCTCTACAGCCAGCTTTGAAATGCTAAAGCTGGGAAAATCCCCCCCCCCCCCCCCCCCCCGGGTTGACCGACCGAGCTAATTATAGACTGGAATGAAACGAGCCCATGACAAGTAACACGCCGCTATTGGGAACTATTATATCCCTGTAGAATTGTGGAATCTTGACTACAACACTCTCCACCATTTGGTGGTCCCACAGAGTTGCCAGACTCTCATTCTGGCCCCAGCGTGTCTCACAGGAGCCAGATAGGAGCTTGGCTCGCGCATCCGTCTCCCGGTGAGCCATGTCCGCATCGTCGGCCGAGCAGCTTGACCGCTCCGCCGCGGACCTCGTGCCGCCTCTGCATTACACACTGGCCTCGCTCCCGTTGGCGAGTAAACCTGCGAGAGGCGCACTCCAGTCGGTACTCCAGCGTCGCACTTTTTACCCGGAGCGGCACCCATTCTGTCGGCAGCTTTAACGAAACGGGGCTGCAGAGGTGAACACTAGAGCTTGGCAGGTTTTGCGTTCCTGTGGTGTATTTTTTTTTTCAGAGGTCAGTTCTGGGCTCTTATCACGGCAGCCGTTTTTGAGACGCCACAGCAGGTGAAATACAGGCGTATTCGATCAAATGAACTATGGGTGGGCCAAGAGCCCTGGCCAAGCTAAATGGAAGCGGGCCAGGGTTGATGTTATTGGTCGATACCCCTTGTGACCCCGAAAAGGATTAACAGAAAGTGAGCATTTTCAGGCAGACAAGCAGAACAAACAAATGCAAAACATGGATTTCCTTATTGACGTCCACGAGCAGACCTGCCGTCGTACCACAGCAGCCAAAGCAGCAAAACGTCACGAAACAAAGACGATCCATTAATATTTCATTAGGATTCATTAACATTTCTGGCTGCTTACAAGCACTTTGAAAGGGCACGTCAGCTGGCGCTCAACACAGATACACAGCGACAGCACAGCATGTATCTGGTGTGCCTGAGCAAAAAAACCCGAAATCATGTTGTTTCTTTACGCTTAAAACTAATAGAAGAATGAGATAACGGTGTTCTGGAAACAAAGACTCCACTGCGTTTTGGGTGCGGCGTCCACACAACTGGAAAAGACTACGACAAAAGTTTATTTTGCCACTGAAAATATACCTCTGATCATTCTGCCTTCGCCGACTGACAACGAAAGAGCTTGTTAAATTTTGCAGCCGCACAATTCCATCGCGCCGTTGACTTTGTCCGTTCTGCACAGCCGGGCGTCCTCAACACCAACAATACATTTTCACAAGTGTTTGTTTGCTACCCAGATTGCCCATGGCACCTTTGTAGTTCTTTCTGATTGAATGCTGGCTGATTATCACTATACGAGCGATGAATACATTTCAAGTTCGATACCGTTCAGCGTGAAAATTATTTTCTGAAACAGCTTCTTGCTGAGATCAACATTCAGCCTCCACAAAACCAGCCACAGCCACGCATGTTATGACCCGCTGTACACGCCAACGAGTCGGATGGAAGAGCGCTGGGCAAGAGAAAGCTGCTCAGATTGTGATGTGACCGAAAACTGTTTGGAGTTTGCAATCAATTAAAGTCCCAGTAGATGTTCCCCCGAGGCCGCCGTGTTTCAGGGAGAACCAAAACGTATCTTCAAATCCCTGAAAGCTTCATTATACGTTTCTCTCGATCAGATTAAAACTGGAATGGATATTTTCATGTTGCCATGAAATAAACAACCATTATCCCACCAGTGTGATAATCATGTTCGACAAAAACACTCATTACGAAATGTAATTAATGAACAACCAAATCCTGCCAAGTCCAACTTTGATGGATTCCAGGGTTGAAGCCAAGCACAAACTGCTCGAGAGTTTATTGCATTTTTGACAGCGGAGGAATTAACTGAAGTAAGTCATATTTTGTTCCTGCATGTCTTGTCTGCTCTGCGGTGGCTGAGTCCAAGGAGTCCAAAGACTCAAAAAAGACTTTTTTGTTTCCACAAAGCTTTGAAATCCACTTGACCAGCCTTGAAACACGCTTCATTTATCAGTGAAGGTATGTTGTGTCTTATCAGCAAGCGATGGTGCGTTTCAAATGACCGGCATGCGATTAAAAATGCACCGCGGTGCTGGACTTAGTTTGATGTCCGACTGCCAGAGAGACTTAAAATGTATGAGATATGTGCACACACGGACATCACATTGGCACAATAGGCTTCCCCCTCACGACTAACTGCTGTAGCCCTGCAGAGACAATCGTACTCTTCAACGACTCAAATCAGACTTAAATGCCTTGAGATATGACAAGAGGGCCAAAGATCAAATGGGGAAAAGCAATTTGCCACAGAGATTATATTCATAAGTTTTCCCATCACTTCCATTTTTTTATTCAATGCTCTTTGTTCTCATTGTCTGGTGTGAGCCGCCCAGCATCACAGGAAAGATGAACCAAGGAGCCCGGGGGCCGTCTTGGTTTCCCTTTTTCTGCCTTCTGACGACTTGCCTCAAAATCTCTTTTTTTTCTCTCTTTAGTGGTGGATAATCTCAGGTCATATGAACCACGATCTATTTTAGGAGCTCTTCTTTACTCCCTTGAGAGGCTGGAAGATTATCGTAAGATCCTTAGTTAGGAGAGAGCCGACATTAAAACGCAAAGAATGATCATCAGAAAAAGCCGAAACGTAATTGCTTCCTTCTGCAATCGCTTCCTCCTCCATGACCTCTGCTGTGGAAGCTAAAGTACGTGCACAGGTTGCAACAATGGGACAAACTGGATTGGTTGTAGTCAATAATGTTTGATTCAGATGCATTGTCAACACACCAATGTGGAAATGAGTTTCTGCTTAACTGGAAGTTCATCTCTCCGCGGCCGGCTGAATTTCGGATGTCCTTAAATTTGTGAATTCATCTGTGTGCCTTAATGTACCATTACTATTTGAGCAGCTTCCAAGAATATGCAGACGCTGAGAGCCTCGACTACAGCGTGAATATGTGCAACAACCAAAAACGGCTTTATGACCAAATATTTTAAAAAGTGAGAAGGATTTCTACTAATGTGACCTGTGGCTCTTCTGCTGATGGATCTGTGAAGGTAGGGGCATTTTGTAATACACAGCACATAACTAGCTCTTTAGGCAGCACCTAAAGTGCTTCGGTACAGTCAGACAGCAGCACTGTTTATGCATAAAAGGAATAACAAAAACACTTTCGCTTCAACTCTGCACAGAACATGTTTAAAACATTTTGGAAGTAAATCTATGCCGACGCATGTTGAAACTCTCTTGGATTAAATGTTTATGGTTGTGCTGACTTTATCTTGCTGTCGGCTCCATTCGTGGGCCTCCTCCAAATGAAAGTGGGACACAAATGCAAATCTAGAGAAGGTTAGTTAGTGGCACATAAAAATCCCAATTAGGCATCGGCCAGAGAGCAGTAGCATGTGTGCAGTATGTTTCAGTAAAAATGCCTTTTAAAGTATTTAAACTGGATGTTGATCTTCTAGAAGACAGTAGTAGTGGACGTGAATTTGCACATGCTCTTTTCTCTTTTCTCCACAAATACATTTGTAAAAAATTGTAATAGATATTCTGAACGT